AGACGTGATACGTTTACCACACACAAAAATTATACGAGAGGGATATATATATATATATATATATATATATATATATATAAAACATATTGTGTGTGCTGTTAACGTCACAAAGGGCACGCATTCTATCAATTCGCCCCCCCCCCCCCACCCACCCACCCACCCACTCTGCTCTATGAAATGCAACATTCTCGATTTCTGACATGGAGTTCATCCAAGTATTTCTCAAGTGACGACACTGTGTCTCTGCCCTATGTGCCTCTGGGCACGGTGAGGAATGAGTGATTGATTGAATGGGTGTTCTAGTTCCACCTGGACCAAATATCCAGTCCTGGTAGGAAAGGAAATAATGTATCAGTCACTGAGAGTCGGAGAATAAACAGAAGATGTACATGCACAAAATCTGACTGGTGTTTTTAAAATAAACACGGGAACAAAAGGAGGGGGGTGGAAACAAATTTACAAATATCGTGGAGGAAATCCATTTCGGCAGATTTAACCTTTTGCATCAATGCTCCACTTAGTGCTTTTCTATATTTTCTCCAGGTCATGCTGGTGTGTTGGGAAATGAGCAGGCAGATAGACTGGGTGGCTCTGCACCACTTAGTGGGGAACTGATGTGAGACAAGCTAGATATTGTGAGGGCCCTTTGCGGATGCGCAGATAGATCATTGCGGTCTGCGGAGAATGGCGCTGCAAGGAGTTACCAGGGGATCTGGCCGACGCTCAACACTTAGGGAAAATATGAGACGGATATACAATCTGACGGTTACTGGTACCATCGGTATTGGAACTCTTTGATTGCTGCTGAAGATGTAGACTAAGCACTTATGGGAGTGTTCCGAGTGCTGTGATGTCGATTTCTAATCCAACATCCAACATTCAACTTGGTGCTTTTCTTTGACGTCCTAGTTTCCCCCACTCCTTCGGAAGATGTACCCTGGCAGTCACCATGTTCTTTTTATTATAACTGTTGATACCAGGTTTGTCCGGACTTGTGCCTGATTTAATTTGAGAGATTAACCAGAATCGTGCCAACTATTAACCATTGGTAAAAGTAATATTAGTCTTCCCCACGACCATACACACACTAAGTCACATATAACAGGTATTTACTGAGCCCCGTGGCCTTGGCACAAAGTCAGAGGGGTGTTCCGCGATACCGTTGATATCGCGTGTTGTATGTTTCATCACGCCAGTGCTTTTACCGCTCCAAAAACACGGAGAAACTGACCATAACACAACCCCCCTTTCCCCACCCCGACAACACAGAAAGCAAACAACAGAGCGGGACACATTCGTAACCTTCAGGAAAGTCGACCAGCCCAACAAACCTGTGAATGAAAAGGGACCTACTTTGAGAAGATTAACGTTACTTTGACGTAACCATGAATTAAAGAAGAATTTAATGCAAGGGATGTAACTCTTTATCAGCAGCATCATGTTGAGAGAGGCACAATTACCTCCATTGCTAACCATTTGTAAGAAGCCCTCACTTGTCATTTTTGTGGGTAGCTTTTGAATTTCTTCTGTTGGGTGTCTACACTTTGTGAAAGCTGGAGAGCTCGATGGCCTGAATGACCCGCAGAACTATGCCTACGGTAGCTAGTTACCAGCAGAGCCTTCCAAGACTGAGAGTACAAAGGCTAAGAAATCAAACAGAGATTCCGTGATTATGTTGGTTGGTTGCCCAAGCACGGAGCTCACAGCACAATCCAAGACTAGCTGAGATGATGACCTCAAACGTCACCACAAATATAGCGGACAGGGTAGAAAGCAGCAATGCTTTCTGACCCTTAGCTGTAAGTGGTCATAGTTAAAGCTGACTGAAGCACGGAGCTGAATTTTTGTTCTAAAGCCGCCCCCCCCCCCCCTCTTCCTTTCCAGGATTGCATTCTGTAGGTATGCCAGATTTGGGTATAAGCTAAACAGGTTAACTTTTAGGGCATCACACTATGCAGGGACTAAAACAACCCCCCCCCCCTCTCCTCTCTAATTTTCACACGTGCAATTTTCTTTTAATTTATTTTAAATGCAGTCTTGTTTTAAAATATTAAAAATAGTTCCCATAAATTTTTTATTTCTATTAACATTATTTTTGGGTATATTATCTTTGATTAAATTTTTAAACTCCACTAAATATTTATTCACAGGAAGAGATACTAACATGTAAACCAAATATTGGAGAACCTGATTTTGAAGAAGTACTGTATTTTCAAAAACAGGTTCTTTCAATGAATCGTTGAACCCATCAAAGATGCTTCAAGAGAGAAGCAACAAAGAAAGTCATATTCTGTTTAAATCACTATTGATCACTGGCATCACGAGTGCTAATAGACTGAAATTGCTGGGGCATATTGAAAGAATGTCAGATGACAGAGAGGTAAAACCTGTATACACAAGGGATCTGAATGGTCGTAGACCACGAGGCAGACCAAGAAGACGATGGAGAGATAATGTCCAGACAGGCCTGAAAACACTTGGTATCACCAACTTTAAAGAGAAGGCCAACCAGAGAGACTGAATGGGTGATATCTGCAGCAATAAACCTCAAGGGCTGGGAATACTGAAGAAGAAGAAAATATTATCGCAGGTTATTGTTTATGCTAACTAGTTGGGTCCTATTTGTATTTAATAAGATAATCATAAACGAACATTGCAGGGAATCACATGGCTATACTGTCCGGAATATACAGGAGTGCGCGGGAATGAACGAGCGGATTATTTGGCTACAAAAGCGAAGACTTCGGGAACACTCGTATTGGACAAGGGAGATATTCTGAAGACCATATATGAACGACTGTTGGCAAAAGAGACCAGATTAGATTAAATAACATGGACAAGAATGTGTGAGCGAGGAATTAGGGGTGAATCCCCACAATCCGCGATCTGCAGTTGTGTGTATCAATTCGTGTGTTGACTCCCCTCCACGCCATAACAAAAGACCGTCAAGAATCTTCTCACGCTGTCTTCCCTTGTCTCTCTTTCCACAAATCTTTCCAGTGGTCACAACATGATCCGTTTCCCCTCCTCTCATACCATGGCCAAATAAATTGATGGCTGTCTCTTTATGATGTTTGTGATAAGCTGTCTTCGAGCATCTGTCTCTTTCTGATGTTTGTGATAAGCTGTCTTCGAGCATCTGTCTCTTTCTGATGTTTGTGATAAGCTGTCTTCGAGCATCTGTCTCTTTCTGATGTTTGTGATAAGCTGTCTTCGAGCATCTGCCTCTTTCTGATGTTTGTGATAAGCAGCTGTCTTCGAGCATCTGCCTCTTTCTGATGTTTGTGATAAGCTGTCTTCGAGCATCTGTCTCTTTCTGATGTTTGTGATAAGCTGTCTTCGAGCATCTGCCTCTTTCTGATGTTTGTGACAAGCTGTCTTCGAGCATCTGCCTCTTTCTGATGTTTGTGATAAGCTGTCTTCGAGCATCTGCCTCTTTCTGATGTTTGTGATAAGCTGTCTTCGAGCATCTGTCTCTTTCAAAACGTCTCAGTTACTCTTATAAACTGTCCAAGGAATAGTAAGGATTCTTCTATGTAACAACAACTCCAAGGCCTCAAGATCTTGTTTATTAATTGTTCAGGATTCACAGCCGTATGTTAAAACCAGCTCTGCATAGCTTGCACGAATTCTTTCGTTGTTTACCTGGAGATTCTAGATTTTTCTCATGGTGTAGGTAAGCATTTGTGGGTTAATTTCTGTCAAAGCCTTTCATTGCAGCTGACTGACTGGCGTTCAGTCCCACAGGACATCACACCGAGCGAAACACTCTAGATAGCACAGTGCCACCATTCGGATGAGGCTCACCCGGGAGCACAGTCTAGCAATTCGTTTTTCTTCTTGCTAAAACAGAGTGTCCAAGGAAACCCGTAAAACGAACGTTGCTGAAAGATGCCTGTGGTGTTGGATTGGATTCTACCCATGATATCAGAAAAGTTGTACAGTATAGAGTATATAATCTGCGAGTTATGTCAGATGCATGCCAAGTCGGTAAACAAGTTATCTATCTAATATATATGTGTTTGTGTGTGTGTGTTTGTGTGTGTGTTGTAAGTCGGTTTAACTGTTTTTAATTAAAAATTGGGACCTTTTTTGTGTGTTGTGATACATTTGCAGCTTCCCCCCTTCCCACCACCCCCGCCCTCCCCTATGGTACTATTCCCAAAACAATTTCGACAGCCCTGATCTTGATGATGTGCATAGGCATTTACAGCTTTCACGTCCTTCTCTGTCGTGAATCCCGCTGTTGTCAACGCCGAGGTATGCGTGCTTATCAGTGACAATTCAGATGTGCCGATCTTCACAGACTGGTCCGTTATACTAGGATATGAATGCATGTGCATTTACAGCTCGCTCTTCAGGCAGAGCAGTTCAAGAAGCCGGTGGTGCTTTCTCCATGACTACCAGCAGCATGACGATGGAGGCGATGACGGTGACACAAGCTTTCATGTGGCTAGAATTACAAGGCTATTCCCACGTGTGTGTGCTGAGTGACTCTTTATGCATGATCCGGCGGGTCGAGGCAGGCTGGTTACGCAGACAGTGGATTGAATCATTGCAAAACTCTCCTATGTGTGCATTTACTTTTATTTTTGTCCAAGGACGTGCAAGCGTTGTTGGTAATCATCACCTAGAGGCACACAAGGCTTCATATTGGACTTCCTATGCTTTCCTGTCCTGTGCAATCTTCAGTTCAGTTTTCAATGTCGTTGTTGGTAATGAAAGAGCTGATATACTGGCAGGTGCCACATTAACTGAAGATGGCTGGTCCATCGATCACGCAGACATTGTCAATGCCCTTAGAGGGACTGGAAGTTCCGAGTATTTTGGAAGCAACGTGTCCACATCACTGCTAAGAATACGAGAATTGGGAGTAGAGAAAGGCACAGCCAAGCATGAGAAGCACACCGGACTCACGCGAAGTTTTGTCAACCAGAATAGGACTGCCACTATTAACCAATCAACAGTCAAATAGTGTGATCTCCCTTGGTTAAAAAAAAATGGCGGCGTCTATGAGGGTTGCCAATGTCAGAAACAAGTGTGCTAGTATTTCACTCAGGTGTTTCTTATCCAAGGACAGAAAAGTAATTTTAAGTAGTTTTTCACACCAGTCGCCTAATGACAGTCAGTTCCAACATGAGAAGGAAGAAGAAGAAGATTTTTTTGGAATTCCGGAGAACTTTACACTGCAACAGGTACGACTTGGCACAGGTAAAAAACAACAAAATGAAAGTCTAGAAAATACCGGACAATTAGCTGTTGATTCAGAAATATATCGAGCAGGTATCACCTCGCCTTCTGTTACAAACGGTCGCTCGGAAAGGCGTAAAGTTGCGCAAACCACCTTCAGTACAACATTTGGTACCATTTCATTTGACAGAACGGTAACATATACGTCACCTAACTTAACCACAGAAGATCTTGCTTCAAAGGCTCAGGAGATACTAACCAAATTAAATATCGATAAGAGTACAAGCACAACATCTAGTGGAAAGGCTGAACAACAGAAAAATAAATATTCTAAAGAATATGTGAAACAAAGCGATACAAATACAAGTAATCAAACTCCAAAACAAGCCAATCAGGATTTCCTAAAAGTGTCCACCAACCAGAGAGCCAGCACAAATTACTTTGACGAGGTGTATTTTCCAGATCAGTCATTGGAAGAAGATACAAGCTCATCTAAGCAAACATTTACACATAAATTTAGCAGGCGTATTCCAGACAGTACTCGGGGTACCACTCCGAATGATTGTTTAGAGGGGTGTAATTCAGTAACACATCACTCATCTGATGAAGTGAAAGATGATTTAAAATCAGGAACATTTAGAAAAGCTTCTCTCCATGAATCGCACCATGAACGTACAAAGCCACATTCATTAAATGTTATAGATGAACAGTATTTTGGTGCTGTTCTAAAACATGGCAATGAGAAAGTTGAGCACATACAGCCTCGTAATGACACAGAAGATCCTCTACTTGTGCAAGATACTTCCAACAAACAAACCGGGGAGGTTCGGCCGAAAAATAAAAGTGATGTTGAAAACAAGATTAAAGAAGCTGTGGATTTGAATGAAATAGATCTTCAGTATTTTGGCAGTGCATCTCAGGGTTTAAATGTGCAGGAAAGTTATCTTCAGCAGGAGACAGCGACTGTAGATAAAAGGACTAACCAGTCATTCCAGAATGTGTTTGCAGATTATATTAATCCTTTGAATGTAAAGGAAAATATTTCAGAAGGGATGCAGATAAATAAAGAGGATCATGAAATGCTGATAAAGAAAGGATTAGGCCAGAAAAAACCTGCAGCGGAAAGGAAACCGAAATTTGAAACATTTAATAAGCAAGAAATTAAGGAAATAATTCATCAGTCTCAGTTTAATATGAATAATGAAGAGTCTATGTCTGCTGTTGCTAAGGATAAAAAAAAGCATGCAACTGGTGACCAGCAAAAATCAAAAGAAACATCTCTTCAGCCACAGCCAACTAGTGACAGCAATGTAATCACAAATGAAGAGTTCCTTATCAGGCAGAAAATAAAGAAGCCAAAGACAGAGTCAGAGACTGATAAACCAAAGACTGCATATGATGTTGCTATGAAGATCCGACAACAGTTACAGCAGGGTGCCCAGGTTAAAGACGTCTCAAAAGAAGAAACTGAAAGCTCTTCACAGAGTAAGTATTAACCTTTTTCATAGCTATTTCACCCCTTTATAGCACATGGTTTGTGAAAGCCACCCATTGATTTGTTTGTTCAGAATGTTGTTCAGCACACCTACATCGAATGGATCTTGCTAACTCTGCAGCATGTGGTTGTAGCCCACCAAAGCAACCTCTTTGTCAGTCAGATTGAAGACATCTTGGGCACAACTTAAAACCACAACCCTCAGGGACGCAGTCTATTGAAAGTTAGTGGTACTATAAATGCTGGCCTTAGGGGACATAATCCATTGTTTGTGTAAGTTTACATAATAATTTTCTTTAATATTTAATATTGATTGAGATTAGATTAGTTGGGGCTAACCCAAACCCTAACTCTAACCCTAACTCTAACCCTAACCCAAACCCTAACTCTAACCCTAACTCAAACCCTAACTCTAACCCTAACCCTAACCCAAACCCTAACTCTAACTCTAACCCTAACCCTAACTCTAACCTGAAGCATATTCATTATTACAGAACATTATTATGTGAACGTGCACAAACAATGGGCTGTGTCTCTTAGAGTCACCGTTCTAAGTATTAGGAATGTAAGGAACAAGGCAAACTGAAGCATTGGTGAATACCATCCTGTTTATCACCTATACTGAAATAGAGACACATAGCATACATTAATCAGTGAAGAAAATCATTTCTTCTTATGTTCCCTGTTTTCTTTTATTTAGCTTGAACATGTCAAAGAAATCTGGACATTTCCTCTGTGCATTTACTCTTTTTTTTTCCCCAACTACTTCAGAGCCAACCATATGTCACTTTCACTCTGTCTTCTGCCTTATGACATGCTTGTTAGGGAGTTAGTGGGTCTGTTCTTGTTGTACCCACATGGGGAATGAAAAAATATACAACCAGATGAAAAGTAAAACCAGTCAGCTTTACAATATCACAGACACAAACAACAAGCAAACGTTCTATTTAGGAAGCCTTCATTAGCACATTACATGAATATACCATATTACAGAATGTAGCCCCCCACCTTTACACATTCTAACCATGTTGTCACCTTTATGAGTGTTTCCATAGGGGTCACTTCTGCAGCCAAAGAAATCTGCTCGTTCATTCTTTTGCATATTTCATTCCCTCCTATATTTAGTACTTCTAACCTGTCCAGATCAGACCACACGCCTTGTAATAATTTACTGTACGAGTTAAAAAATTTTTTTAAAAAGATAGTTGCATATCTTTTACAGGACGTTGCAGAACCAGCCCCAGCATATTTGTGGCTGTGTGTGGCAAAAGTTTGCCATTGCCTACTGAATGATCTGCTCTTAATTCGATACCACTGTCAAAACCAGTGCAGGGTGGTCTGCTGCCGAATTGCCTGCAACAGACATCAAACCCAGTACCTAGGCATTATGAAGGGCTTTTGCAAGGCATATGCCAAAAGAGGAAAAGGATTTAGACCATGAGGAGGTAGACCAAGAACAATATGGAAAGATAACATCAGAGAACCTGTAGAACTAGGTATCTGTGATTATCTGAGTCTGTGGTTACCTTAAGTCTGATGTTTTATTGATCATTTGGTCTAATTTCAGCTGTGGAAGAAAAGTTGGTGACAGATTCAAACATCAAGTTGGACAGCAAAGGTTTTAGAGTATTGGACAACCAGGTGCCATACCATCTGGACAAAATGACTTCAGCAGATATTGTCAGAATGCTCAAAAGCAGAATCATATTTGATCATGGTATTTATTTTCTATCTTCTGTGTTACTGGGGCCCATTGTAAATTGATTAAGGGCCTACGCTCCACTGGGAGTTAGAAGACAGAAAAATGTAAAGAAGGTTGGTGGCTGTTAAATGATGTGATCCCCTTGTGGGTTTCTGGACCCCTTTGGGGTGGGGGGGGGGGGGTAGGAACCCCCACCCCCCCCCCCCACCCCAGCAAGCATGTAAAAGGCAGCTAATTAAGGGTTTTTTCTCCAAAGTTGGAGTGCATCTGCCTGAAAGGGGAGAAACCAACAGTCTTTATACAAATAAGCTATATCTGCAAAATAGATGTGCATAAGTAAGTTGCATATCCTTTACAGGACATTGCAGAACCAACCCCAGCATTTTTTGCCTGTTGTGTCATAAAGGGGACTAATTAGGTCCCTGCTGAAATGGGATTTGTTTGGCTGAAAGGTGCAAATATCACAGCCCAGCTGTCAGCCACAACAAAACGTGCCAGCTGCCCTTTTGAAGATGAACTAAGAAGAAGAGGTATTGGTCGTAGAATTATCTGTATTGATGATGACCATGGCGGTCAGGAGTGTGCATCAGCCACCCATCTGCTGAATCCACCAGCTATGATTCCCCGTGTGGGTTCCAGGGCCCCATTGTGGGGGGAAACAGGAATAGACCCACTGCCTCCCCAACAAGTATTGGGAGCTTCCTTCGGAATTGGAGTGTATCCTTCTGAGAGACATGGAAATAGCAGTCTGCATACGGTTAAGTCAGATCTGTTGAACGAATGTGCACGCAACACTCAGGCTCTGGAACAAGACTAAAGTCCACAGGTGGAAAAACAACCATAACTTTCTGCCAGGGTTTACAGCCAGTGAACATGAAGAAGAAGAAGAAGAAAGAGAACCAGTCCTGAAAATGTTAGTGCTACATCAGTTTCAATACAGGGTGTCTCATAACTTTCCGTACATGGTAAACATAAACATACCACCAACACTATTTCAGGCTTCAGAGTCTAGTGCAGCTATGTGATGAAGGAAATTATAGTAGTGAATCTTCGTGTGTGTACTGACTGACCAACACATGACCCAGAGTTAAGCCAGACAAACAGAAGACCTATATTGCATGACAGACTGAGCTTTTTGCTTAGGAGAATTTACAAGTTCCTCGAAGTCAGGAGCTGAACAGTGGACGGCAGTAAAACTAGTGGGCGGCCAGTAATGTGGGGAGATGGTTGAGAGACGATGAGAGGACGTGCGACTGTGACTTCTGCTAGTTTGACATTTATATAGTAGTGTGTTGCTTAGAGTGGTAGTGACCGATGGGTGAAGGTGAAGACGGGGATGCTTTGAGCAGACAGTAGTGTGTTGCTTAGAGTGGTAGTGACCGATAGGTGAAGGTGAAGACGGGGATGCTTTGAGCAGACAGTAGTGTGTTGCTTAGAGTGGTAGTGACCGATAGGTGAAGGTGAAGACGGGGATGCTTTGAGCAGACAGTAGTGTGTTGCTTAGAGTGGTAGTGACCGATAGGTGAAGGTGAAGACGGGGATGCTTTGAGCAGACAGTAGTGTGTTGCTTAGAGTGGTAGTGACCGATAGGTGAAGGTGAAGACGGGGATGCTTTGAGCAGACAGTAGTGTGTTGCTTAGAGTGGTAGTGACCGATAGGTGAAGGTGAAGACGGGGATGCTTTGAGCAGACAGTAGTGTGTTGCTTAGAGTGGTAGTGACCGATAGGTGAAGGTGAAGACGGGGATGCTTTGAGCAGACAGTAGTGTGTTGCTTAGAGTGGTAGTGACCGATAGGTGAAGGTGAAGACGGGGATGCTTTGAGCAGACAGTAGTGTGTTGCTTAGAGTGGTAGTGACCGATAGGTGAAGGTGAAGACGGGGATGCTTTGAGCAGACAGTAGTGTGTTGCTTAGAGTGGTAGTGACCGATAGGTGAAGGTGAAGACGGGGATGCTTTGAGCAGACAGTAGTGTTTTGCTTAGAGTGGTAGTGACCGATAGGTGAAGGTGAAGACGGGGATGCTTTGAGCAGACAGTAGTGTGTTGCTTAGAGTGGTAGTGACCGATAGGTGAAGGTGAAGACGGGGATGCTTTGAGCAGACAGTAGTGTGTTGCTTAGAGTGGTAGTGACCAATGGGTGAAGGTGAAGACGGGGATGCTTTGAGCAGACAGTAGTGTGTTGCTTAGAGTGGAAGTGACTGATGGATGAAGGTGAAGACGGGGATGCTTTGAGCAGACAGTAGTGTGTTGCTTAGAGTGGTAGTGACCGATAGGTGAAGGTGAAGACGGGGATGCTTTGAGCAGACAGTAGTGTGTTGCTTAGAGTGGTAGTGACCGATAGGTGAAGGTGAAGACAGGGATGCTTTGAGCAGACAGTAGTGTGTTGCTTAGAGTGGTAGTGACTGATGGGTGAAGGTGAAGACAGGGATGCTTTGAGCAGAGTGGCAAGCTTCACTGGGAAAGTCACTGTTAGTTAGCATACTTTGGATCTTTTCTCCAAGCCATGCTGGTGTAGTGGGTAATGAACAGGCAGACAGATTGGCTGGATCTGCACCACTTGGTTGTGAATTGATACATGACAAGGCAGATTTGGTCAAGGCCCTTTCAGAACAAGCAACGGAATCAGTATGGAAACAAGATTATTATGACCTGGAGAAAATGATGCTTTTGGGTGTAACCAGAGGGTCTGGCTGGCTCACTACACTCAGAGGTACCATCAGTATTGGAACTCTGCGCTAGCTGCTGAAGATGACAAAGCAGGCATGGGAAGGCCCCGAGTGCTGTGATGTCAATTCTTGTCTCAACTTAACTCAACTGATCATTAGTTTGTTTTTGGTTAGATTGTATTTGTATCTTTGTGTTATACCGACAGAGTTAGGATTAGTGTATAGCTTGTTCCTGTAAATTATAGGCAGTCTGGTAGCTATCACTGGTTTTTATTGGTTACTGTGAATTGATCTGTTCTTGTCTACTTCACCTGGCACTCAGCAGACGCTCCACAGTCCTAGTGTTGTGTTCAGTTCCGGCATAAGAGCTGGATAGAAATGGGCGTGGGTTTGGACCCAGTACTGTCTAGGAGAATGTCAGAGGTGATTTGTAAAGCCCTCACATCCTTGGTTTCAGATAGGGGTACCCACGAGTTCTAAGGTAGACTACGAGCTGTTATATTGTGCATTCTATTAAAGATTGTTGTGTGCTCTGTAGGTGTTTGGGTCTGGCGTATGTAGAATAGATTTTTCTGTCTCAGACCTACAAGATGAGCTACGTGCCGGTGCGGCAGATATGCACAAGCATATCCCTGTCTCTGCTTATACATGTTCTTCAGCAGTGGAGGAGAAGCATCGACAAATGTTCATCAAAACAATAGTAGTCATGTAGAGCATTTTATTTAACTCTCTCAGTTCCAAGGGATTTAGCAGCAGTCGCCCAATGGGTAGTATAGAGAAACATATAATTAGTGCATCTTGGGTTCGGTGGGCTTCAGGGAAGGAACCTGTGAAAGTATGGTGCTTCATTCATTGCTTTAAGTAAAAATTATTTTTCCTGTGTATGAAATGTATGGGGCAACCTGTTGATTATTTCCTGTGCAGACTAGCTAGCACAAATATAAATGTTTGTGTTTGCATCTTCACAGAGGACTTTCTGGCAATAGACAAGCCCTACGGTCTGCCTTGTTACAGTAAGTAAGCTTAAATGTATTGTGTTATTGCCCTCTTTTTTGTTAGATGCTTAACATGGTAGCAGTTAGGCACCTGTGGATAAGAAAGTCGGGTGTTCAAATCCGCATGGAGGTCAAATTTGTGTCATACATCGTAAAAGACAACTGATTAGGGGTATTTGGTTTCAGTATCAGAGTGCATCCACCTGAAAGGTGAGGAATAACTGTATTTAAAAAAAAAAAAACATCAGTAACACAGTTGTGCATATGAAGTATATATCATGAACTATATAAATTATTAGTTTTAACTGCTTTTGTCCCACTAATTCTTTGTTGAACTTCTGCCTCCTCTGTGTTCGCCCTTTAAAGGTTGTTTGGTGTGTTGTTTTGTGGTTTACAGCTAGGCTGCAATATCTGTGCCTTTCAGCCCAACATTTTTAATCACTGGGTCTGTTTCACCCCCCTCCCCCACTAAATGGGCCCATGAATCCACACAGGGAGGCCAGTCTTTGTTGAATGCTTCCAGACCTAAGTAATTATTATTATCAACTCCTTGGGATATAGCCATCATGGTGTAGCAGCGAGATGCTCACCTGTGGATCCAAATGTTGTGGGTTCACTTCCTGACTGAGCCGGACTTAATTTTTAATTTTTTCAAATGACCTTGGCTGCCATATTGACCCAGCCTTAGATGGGTACCAGGTGCAGTCAGGAAAGTCATCAACTGCGACCGAGTCACCCATTGGCTGGCCTGTAGACGACTTCGTCGCTGATCGGGACAGTATTTGGATCTGTCTCTTTTGATTGCATCAACACTACAAGAGTTCTTTTCAGGGCTACTTGGATTTTGAGCAGTGCTGAGCCATTTTACATGACGCACATAACCTAGTCGCAATTATAACCTAACGTTTCCCCTTAAGGGATGCTGGTTGAACGTGGCAATTTTTTTTTTACTCTCAAGTCAGGCCAAAGGAAAGGAAAGATGGCTGGCGGGATGTTAACCACATCACCCACCCATATAGGTCTAGCCCTGTGTGCCCAACATGCCTGGAGGTGGAGAAAGGTTCCTTACAATAGAAGTGGTTAAAGTAACAGCTGGTTAGGATAAAAATGAGTTAAGTGAAAATTGTATTCAGCCTGTGCATGTTGATGCATTTGTTTGTGGTCCATTTGCTATATGCAGAATTCCCTGTGCGGGTTTCCGAAACCCCATGGGGGAGGGGGGGGCAAGAATAGACATACTGCCTCCCCAACCAGCATGTCAAAGGAGTCGACTGATTGGGGGGGGGGGGGGGGGAGGGGGCTTCTTTCGAAGTAGGAGTGCATCTGCTCGAGTGACAAGGAGTGACCAATTGCACGCAAATAAGCCAGTTAAATGGATGCACAGGCAAAACTCGGACCCTAGCACAAAGTCCAAATGAATGAACAACCAGGACTTCTCGCCAGAAGAAGTATGCAGAATGTATAAAATATTGAAACTGTCTACAATCTACAAGGTCAGGCCAAAGATCGAGTGAGTGTAACAGAACTTCTGCCAGCATTTACAGAACTTTTGCCACGAAGTTACGGGGCCAGTGGGCTGCACCTTGCACAAGGATTAGACAGAGATGTAACCGGAGCTATCATTCTTGCAAAGTAAGTGTGTAGATAAAGAAAGAATATAGATTTACAAGTGAATGCTGTGATAATACAGGGCTGTCAATGATTCATCTCTTGCTATCTTACTCTGTCTAGCTGTTTAGTTGTCTCTTTTTCTTCTGAAAGTCTATGCCATTTGGCGCTGGTAGTCATGTCTATCCACAGCGCTTCTCTCTTGTGTACTTTCAGTCAACTCTGATACTGATGATCCTCCATGCCATGATGTCAGACTGTCCAGTCTTTTCTCTCGCTCAGTCTCTGCCTGTCCTCCCCTCCAGCTTTCCTACTGTCACAATGTACTCCAGTTTTCTCCTTCTCATGACACTGACCACATAATGGGTGTGTCTCCTTCTAATGTCGGCAGTCAGTTCTCTTGGTGAGTCAGTTTCTTTCTGGACGTCTTCATTACTCCTTTTATCAGTCCAGGGTATCCTCATCATTCGTCAATAAAACCACATCGTCACAGCTTCCAAAATAATTTTTCACTAATCTACCAACTGTCTATGATTTAGTTGTCACATGTTCTTTTATTTAATAATCTATTCAGAACAAAGTAAGTCACACACTGGTCATTACAAGTTCTCGTGGCGTAGTAGCTAAACGTTCGCCTGTGGACCAGAAGATCATGGGTTCGGACTCCTGAAGGAGCTGGACTTTTTTCAAAAATGACTTGACTCCCAGGTCGACCCAGCCTTGAGTGGGTACCAGGTACAGTCCTGGGAAGTAAAGGTGGCCCACATGATGCTGACCAAATCACCCACCAAGTGCTGTTTGGTCTATAAAATATAGGTCTAGCCCTATATTCCCAATACATGTAAAGGTGTGAAAAAGGGGTTCTTTACTTGACTTATGCTGGACAATTCAGACTCCTCAAACATTGATGTAAATTAAGAGTGAGTCAGACAGCTTTCTGATGATGTCTTTGTGCTGAACAGTTGCCAGAACATGTCTTGCAAGAGCGTCCTCTCTCCTCCTGGGGGGGGGGGGGGGGCTGCATGGTCTTGAGGTATGGCCTCCGCCTTGAGTGCTGGAGGTCCTGGGTTTAAACCCCGGTGAAGGCTGGGATGTTTCACGTGGACTTCTAGTAATTTATCCTGGTCTCTGGGTAGTAAGACTGGACTGTATTGTTGTGCACGTACAAAAAATACCTTGGCAGGTGGAAATTTAAAAAAGTCGCCTAACAGTGCTTCCCTGAAAAAATTTGGAAAAGGTATTTCAGGATCATCGCCGGTGCAATGGAGTTTGTGCACTGCTTTGAGATTCTTTATACTCAGGCTTGAGCTTGAAGTAGAACGGAGCACTTATGGGTTAACACCAGTGTGCTATGATGTTGATCTGTCGACTAAACTAAACTATCCTCTCTTCTGGGGGAGCTGTGAAACATCATGGGGCCATGCCAGGTGGATCTGACAACTGTTGAGAAAACCTAAAACTTTGAGTTGATATCTTATTTTATGGCCCAGATTAAAAAAGTGCTTGACCAAAATAAACATACTTTTTTATGTCCCCAGTTAGGCAGACAGACACCACATCTTACATAAGACCCTTTCACACAGACACCACATCTTACATTAGACCCTTTCACACAGACACCACATCTTACATTAGACCCTTTCACACAGACACCACATCTTACATTAGACCCTTTCACACAGACACCACATCTTACATTAGACCCTTTCACACAGACACCACATCTTACATTAGACCCTTTCACACAGACACCACATCTTACATTAGACCCTTTCACACAGACACCACATCTTACATTAGACCCTTCCAAACACTTATCTTTCACACAGACACCACATCTTACATTAGACCCTTCCAAACACTTATCTTTCACACAGACACCACATCTTACATTAGACCCTTCCAAACACTTATCTTTCACACAGACACCACATCTTACATTAGACCCTTCCAAACACTTATCTTTCACACAGACACCACATCTTACATTAGACCCTTCCAAACACTAATCTTTCACACAGACACCATCATCATCATCATCAGGTGCCTTGCCGACTGGCGTGGGCGATCATGCCTCTCCATAATCCGCGATCTCCTGCAGCATGTATCAGTTCGTGTGCCGACACATCTCCATGCCATGCAACAAGACTGTCAAGCATCTTCTCTCGTTGTCTTCCTCTATCCCTCCTTCCACAGATCTTTCCAGTGGTCACAACATGTTCTATTTTCCCTCTTCTCATAACATGGCCGAAAAATGATGACTGTCTCCTTCTGATGTCAGTGATAAGTTGTCTTCGGTCTCCCGCCTCTTTTAAAACCTCTTGGTTGCTCTTTTTGGCTGTCCAAGGTATTCTAAGCATTCTTCTGTAAAACCACATCTCTGAGGCCTCCAAAAATTGTTTGGCCTGCCTACCGATTGTCCAGGATTCACATCCATATGTTAAAACTGGATGTAACACAGACACCACATCTTAAATTAGACCCTTCCAAACACTTATCTTTCACACAGACACCACATCTTACATTAGACCCTTCCAAACACTTATCTTTCACACAGACACCACATCTTACATTAGACCCTTCCACACAGACACCACATCTTACATTAGACCCTTTCACACAGACACCACATCTTACAAAAGACCCTTCCAAACACTTATCTTTCACACAGACACCACATCTTACATTAGACCCTTCCAAACACTTATCTTTCACACAGACACCACATCTTACATAAGACCCTTCCACACAGACACCACATCTTACATAAGACCCTTCCAAACACTTATCTTTCACACAGACACCACATCTTACATTAGACCCTTCCAAACACTTATCTTTCACACAGACACCACATCTTACATTAGACCCTTCCAAACACTTATCTTTCACACAGACACCACATCTTACATTAGACCCTTCCAAACACTTATCTTTCACACAGACACCACATCTTACATAAGACCCTTCCAAACACTTATCTTTCACACAGACACTACATCTTACATAAGACCCTTCCAAACACTTATCTTTCACACAGACACTACAGCTTACATAAGACCCTTCCAAACACTAATCTTTCACACAGACACCACATCTTACATAAGACCCTTCCAAACACTTATCTTTCACACAGACACCACATCTTACATTAGACGCTTCCAAACACTTATCTTTCACACAGACACTACATCTTACACAAGACCCTTTCACACAGACACCACATCTTACATAAGACCCTTCCAAACACTTATCTTTCACACAGACACCACATCTTACATAAAACCCTTCCAAACACTTATCTTTCACACAGACACCACATCTTACATAAGACCCTTCCAAACACTTATCTTTCACACAGACACTACATCTTACATAAGACCCTTCCAAAACACTTATCTTTCACACAGACACTACATCTTACATAAGACCCTTCCAAACACTAATCTTTCACACAGACACCACATCTTACATAAGACCCTTCCAAACACTTATCTTTCACACAGACACCACATCTTACATTAGGCGCTTCCAAACACTTATCTTTCACACAGACACTACATCTTACACAAGACCCTTTCACACAGACACCACATCTTACATAAGATACCCTTCCAAACACTTATCTTTCACACAGACACCACATCTTACATTAGACCTTGCAAACACTTATCTTTCCTACTGCAAGTGCATTTTGTCTTTAAAGCATGTTATATTTAGTTAGTTGTGTATCCTTTACAAAACATTGCAGAACCAGCCTCAGCAGTTTTTGGCTGTTGTAGTTTTTCTAAGCAAATTTTATATTCAGTAGTTTGCCATTGCTCCCTGAACAGTCAGCTCTTGGTACCACTGTCAAAACCAACGCAAGACAAATCATCTGCAGCTGTTATTGAACCTTGCACCCAGAACAACCATAACTTTTTACCACATTATTTATTTACCTTTCAAAAAAGTTTTGATTTGTTTGAAGAAACCCTGAAGTGGTTTATTTGTTTCACTTTCAAAACACTTTGAATTTTTTTGTTGCAGAAACCCTAATGTGGTTTTTTTTGTTTACACTTTCAAAACTCAGATTTATTTGCAGAAACCATGAAGTGGTTTATTTGTTTACACTATCCAAACACTGATTTATTTCCAGAAACCCTGAAGTGGCTCATATCATTCGGGGCATGTACAAAGACAGCAGCTTGATCACACAGAAATATTGGGCAATCACAAAAGGTGTCCCCACGCCATTTGAAGGCATTGTTGCTATCCCCATTGGTGAAGCTAAAGTTGGGAACATCTACAAGGTACAGTATGTCTGTCTTATATAGTGTAAGAAAAATCTACAGTCTAGGTCTGATTAAATGTGTAAGAAGTAGATGCAGTATCAGTCTGTGTCTTATGTGTATAAGAAACATCTACAGTGTAGCTGTTGAGTCACATGTGTAAGAAAAATCTACAATGTAAGTCTGTGTCTTATATGTGTAAAAAAACATCTACAGTGTCAGTCTGTCTTATATATGTAAGAAATATCTACAATGTAAGTCTATGTCTTATGTGTGCGCGAAACTTATGCTGTGTAAGTCTTATGTCTGTAAGTGAGGTCTACAATGTAAGTTTGTGCCTTATATGTGCTGTAAGAAACATGCAATGTAATCTGTCTTCATCTACAATGTAAGTTTGTGCCTTATATGTGCTGTAAGAAACATATGCAATGTAAGTCTGTCTTCATCTACAATGTAAGTTTGTGCCTTATATGTGCTGTAAGAAACATATGCAATGTAAGTGTCTTATATGTGTAAGAAACATCTACAGTGTAAGTATGTGTCTTATGTCTGTAAGAAACATATGCAATGTAAGTCTGTCTTCGTCTACAACGTAAGTTTGTGCCTTGTATGTGCTGTAAGAAACATATGCAATGTAAGTCTGACTTATATGTGTAAGAAACATCCACAATGTAAGTATTATATTTGAATATACCAGTGGGCACTTGATGGGTGATGTGATCAGCATCAACCCAGACTCCATCATAACTTCCCAGGGCATGATCTGGTACCTGTTTAAGGCTAGGTCCACCTGGGAGCCAAGATGGAGTTTTGATGGAAACAAATTGGCGGCTCGTGTGGAATTGAACCTTAAACCATCTGGCCGGCAGACAGACATCTATCTGGCTGTTACTCTACTGCGACTCCCATAGCTGATTATTTTATGGTTCAGTTTCATACACTTAAAGTGTGGCGCGGTGATTTATGTCACAGGCGTGAGGGGAAGTTAAGTCCAACATGATGTGTATAAGGAGATACTCCGTACGTCACTCGGGCGCCAGTCCTTTACTATCCTGGTTGTACGGAACCTCACGCAAGACCCCTACAGCACGTCCTCGTCGTGCGCCACGGATAATGTCTCAAATGAGCATTAACAGAGCTGTCAAGGGATCTCGGAGTTTGGCGGCCCCCAGAGGTGATGTGTCCTTGTGGCTCTCATCAGCCCGCCCCCAAACGCTTGGGTGAAAAATGTTATCAAAACTCATTAGGAACATGAGTAGGTTCGACAAAAGTACAGCTAAAATCACAACCCTTGGTTAAAAGACTGCTGAGTAAAGAGAACATTGCTCAATGCTCATCCTCGGTTAATTCTCAGTGTCGTCGTCACCGCGCTGAGGTGCAACACAACAGAAACCATACATGGGCTGGCCATCCTTGTGCATCCTCGGTTGGCCCTCAGTGTCGTCGTCACCACGCTGAGGTGCACCACAACAGCAACCATCCATAGGCTGGCCAGTCACGTACATCCTCGGTTAACCCTCAGTGTCGTCGTCACCGCGCTGTGGTACACCACAACAGCAACCATCCATCGGATGGCTAAGCCTAAATGTCCGACAAAACTAGATCATACGGATCAAAATCTGACCATCAAAATTTGCACTGAAATGCAAAAGGCCGAATGTCCACACCCAAAGACCCCACTCGCCCGAGTGTTGGGACAAAACTGATAACGATATGCCTGATTCAGGATGTGAAATACTGCCGGGCTAATGTACCTATCTGTGTGGTCACAAAAGTCCAAAACCAACGGGCTGCTCCCCGCTGACTTCCAGAGGGCGCAGCCCCTGTCGAGCGGGAGGCCTGATACGGTTGTGAGGTTAAGCAGGCATGTGCAGGACGTGACGATTCCTTGGGTGAGCCCAGAACCAGCGCCATGTGCCGGCTCTGCATGCATGGAAGCCTCCTTGGATGGCGGGGAATGCCCATGATCTGCCCCTGCCTTCCCTTGAGGGCCAACTGTTCCACAGGGGGTTGCCCCAAAGGGGTACTCCGGGGGCAATACCTGCGGCGAAGGAGACAAGGCGGACACCACACAAATCAGGCAGTCTCGACCCACACAAAACAATGGCCACAGTCACCCTAGAAATAGGCCTGACGTCTTCCTTCGAAGTCGGCGTACAACTGCCCAAGAGGCAGGGAAATAAAAAACGGTTGTACACGCAAAAATCAGGTCCAGGTGAAAGCCAAAAGTCCAAGCGGACGATTAACCGGGACCTTCCACTGGAATTCACAGCCGGTGTTCGATTAAAAAAAAAAAAAAAAAAAAATACACTTAAAGAAACTCTCTGTGGCAATGTGGTCAAGACGTTTGCCTCACACTCCAAAGATCACGGGTTCATTTCACAGCTGGGTCATTCTTCGAGAGTGCAGATTTTAGGGGAACACTTAAGGATTGTCCCCAGAGCTACGCTGGTTGAGCTTTGTGTGATGCTTTCATCGGCAGCTAGCCAACTTCAACTTTGGTATGCTTCGATGGTTTTTGTTTTGACATTGTCTTGCTAGATGGTTTTTGTTTTGACTTTGTATTGCTAGATGGTTTTTGTTTTGACATTGTCTTACTAGATGGTTTTTGTTTTGACATTGTCTTGCTAGATGGTTTTTGTTTTGACATTGTCTTGCTAGATGGTTTTTGTTTTGACATTGTCTTGCTAGATGGTTTTTTGTTTTGACATTGTCTTGCTAGATGGTTTTTGTTTTGATATTGTCTTGCTAGATGGTTTTTTGTTTTGACATTGTCTTGCTAGATGGTTTTTGTTTTGACATTGTCTTGCTAGATGGTTTTTGTTTTGACTTTGTATTGCTAGATGGTTTTTGTTTTGACATTGTCTTGCTAGATGGTTTTTGTTTTGACTTTGTATTGCTAGATGGTTTTCGTTTTGACATTGTCTTGCTAGATGGTTTTCGTTTTGACATTGTCTTGCTAGATGGTTTTGCGGCCGAGGTTTCTGAAAGATGAGAAGCTCATTGGGCGTGCCAGCAAAGCCTCCAGTGAGAAAGCCGTCACACAGTACAAAGTGTTGAGCTCACATCTACAGTCAGCTCTTGTGGAATGCATTCTACTAACAAGTAAGATTTATGTATTTAATCACCCAATGAAATGTAGGCCCCCTACTCTATTACACAAGGCCCTCACAAACTTACTCCATCATAGGCTTATTCATAATTCTTCTTCTTTTTCTCCTCCTGCTCCTACTGTAAAATCCAGTTGAAAGTTCTTGTTGTTTATCCGCTTCTTGTTCCACAACCTGCATTTTGTGCAAACATCTTTGCAGATCTGCACGTCCACCTTGAGTGTCTAAAAAGATCCCCTTGTCCCCCTTGATTAACTGCAAGATCTCCACATTCCCTTGGCAAGACCCCTCCCCCTCCCCACACTCTCTCTCACTCACGCACACACATAAATATATATATATATATAACATAGTGTGGGTAAAAAGAGGTGCACAGTAAACTCTGCAACATAGATATACAAACTGCTTATGAAAAGCCCCATAAATGTCCTTAGCATTTTGTTTTATAAAGTTTTTAAAAAAAATATTTTATTTATAATTAAACCGGGAAAAAAATAAAACGGATTGTTACAAATATAAACAAATGCTCTCAGTTTTGCATGCCCCCCCCCCTCCCCTCTTCCCGGTTGGAGATCACCGAACTAAGCAATTAGCGAATTGAAGCAATAATGTGGCTAGAGACCCAGCATTTTTTCCCCATGCATGCTTTCTAAGTGATTCCATGGGTATGCTTGAGATATAGACAGGTTGCAGATCACCGAACTGAGCGATTAAAGCACTGACATTGTTTTTTTTTTCTTTTTTTTCCAGATGTCAAGCATCAGATCAGGCTTCACTTAGCCAGCGGTTTGGGCACGCCAATTCTCGGTGATCACAAGTACTCTAACTTTGCCAAGATGGCGCCACAGGTACACTGAAATAGGCCACTAGACAGCCATATCATAAAGCAATACATATATTTAAAAAACTGGCATCAGTTCACAACTTTTGCAGTCTAAGGTGAAAGGATGAGGGCTCTGTGAGCCTGAGGACTTAGGACTGCATGCTAGTTAGTACTGTCGCCATGGAGTATGCTCCAGACAGGAAAACCCAAAACCTCACAGAGGATTTGAACCTTAAATCTTAAGGCTGAAAGACTCTCCCCTCCCCTGCCTGCATGCCAAAATTAGGGGGGGGGGGAGTGCGTGTGTGTTCAGTTTAAGGGTGTAGTTTATCATTTTAAAAGGACTCTTTTTCCGGCGTATTGAGCATATAAGGCTAGACCTATATAGTTTATCATTTATTCTGTAGATATTGGAGTGCAGTGTCTGTTAAGTTTAAAGATACGTGCAAGCAGGACATGAATGGTACAGTGTTTTAAGGTGGGTTCATGGGATCTGGATGCCATGGGTCGCGGAGCACTTTGAGAAATGGCTCTGTCACCTTCAGAGGACTTCTCATATAACAAGAACTGAATTTCTACCTCCGCATCAACTGGTTTTTGTTTGCGCATTTTCTGTCCTCTCAGACGCAGTCGAGGTTTCAACTTCACTGCAGTTGTGTTTCCCCATGCTTGCTCCGTTCTTGTGCCAGTGCAGATCAGATGGCATGTTCCTCACTATCCTATTTGAAAAACTGGTGAACAGACAATTAGTTCCAGAAATATGCGCACACAGTAAATACATATGGAGGTTGTAGAGGTGCCAAAGCCAACAGTCGCCACCAGAAATGCAGTTTTTAGTTGGTGGAAGTAGTCAGGCACGATAAGTCGGCCATACACGTAGAATTATTGCATAAGGTATTTCACCGGCTTACACCTAAACCGGCTACCAGCCCTATTGAATACCACGATACAACCGCTGTATAAATAAAAGGCGTTTCACAAGAAGAAGAAAAACACAGCTGACAGTGCTGCACCAAGCACTAAACTCAGTAGCATTCTAAAAGGACATTCAACACTCTGTGGGCACTGTACTCACTCTCTACCATATTTGAGTTTACTTGAAGTAGCCCTGTGATTAACAAAATTGTAGTCTTTCATCCATGGTTGACAAAAATTTACGGTAAGAAAATATGATGTATGTGAAAGATTTTGAAGTGTTATTTTGCATCGGTGACCGGTCGCCCATTGGCTGGCCGGTGGAGGACTTGGTCACCGGTCGGGACAGTATCTGTCTCGTTTGATCGCATCAACGCTGCAAGAGTCCTTCCAGGAGCTCTTTGTGGCGAGCAGTTCTAAGCCATTTTATATGGCGTATATAACCTAGTCACATTTATAATCGAAATCTCCCCCCTTCGGGGATGCCAGTTGAACCAGGCCAAGTGTTATTTTGAGCTATACATTACGATGACACAACTGATTCTATAGAGCAACAGTTCTCTGTGACTTACTGACATCGTCTGATACATGTATTTATTTCTCTCTCAGAAACTACACAGAGAAATGCTGGACTTGTTGAAGACCAGGCAGGCGTCGGTCCGCCACATCATCATGCACCTCCATTGCCGCAGCATTATTCTGAAGGACTACAAGGGACGCATGATTTTCCTCACAACACATCCTCCATCCCATTTTAGAGACAACATGCGGACCTTAAGAATTCCCAAAGTTGTATAACGATTCGTGCTTCACATGTTACATATACTGTGATCTATACACATAGACCGTCTTTATATAAGTGGCGTGCTAAATTCACACCTGCACATACTCCATCCCATTTCAGAAATGAAAATTTTAGAATCCCCAAATTTGCGAAAGTAATTAATGCTTTATTTTGCTAAATTTGAGAATCCCCAAAGTTACGTAATCTTTTTCTTAACATTTACCAGCTATAAACTCTGGCTGAATGTTCTGTTTGTTCGTCCACTTGTTCCAGAACTTGAATTTTATGTGCACATCTGTTCTACAGATCTAGCTTATTTATATATGCAGGCCGTTAGGTCCTTGCCTCTCAGAGGCAGATGTACTGCAACTTCAAAGAAAACCCTTAATCAGTCGACTCTTACTATGTGCTTGTTGGGGGGGGGGGGGGGGGGGTCAGGGCAGTGGGTCTTCTCTTACCCCCGGCACAATGGGACCTCTCTGGAACCCGGGGTTCGTAGACTTTCTGTTGAGTCTGCTGATGGGGTCTTGTGGATATTAACTGTTGGTTTGTTCTCTCCAAAATTCCTTGTATTTTTCCCTTGATAAGTATTCTGATTTCTGGTAACGACAGTGGATGGGTGCGTTGTTTCTCCTTTGTAAGATAGTCTGATATATAAACAGTGCTATTCTCATCACATGCTGTGAGCAGAAACATTGCAGGTGGTTTTTGTTCTTTATGTCACAGTGTTTAATTTCATATGAAGTCTCTGGTTTATTTCCAATTATTTTTTGCGTTCACCAGCTGTAAAGTCCTAATTGTTCGGGAGTTTTTCATGTACATCCATTGTACTTCTTATCATTTTAAATGACTTATATATATTAGTGCTGCTATCTCCTGTTATCACAGTGCACAAAGTCTAGCATTGGTGAAAAGATGTGATTTATCCATAAAATTAAGTAAAGGTCCCTTTTCCAGTGGTGCAGCGATCCGGCTGATATTCAGGGATGGAGCAGTCATGATGTAGATAAGTTCATAGATGCTTATAGGAATGTCCTGAATGCTGTCATGTCAGAATCATCATTCATATTTGTAAATGCTAGAAGTGATTAAAGAAACTTGAAACTTGTTTTGATTTCTATTGGTAGTTAGTCAATATGTGACGATTTTTGTCTGCACATAGTCATCTGCTGCTGTGTCTTATGTTTTGTCTTCATTTCGTCTTTGAGTTTACTGGCTGTAAGCTCCAGCAGAAAATTCTGGTTGTTTGGCCACTTCTGGACTTTCATCTTGTTTCAGTTTTGCATGCAGACTGTTGGTTCCTCCTCTCATGCAGATGCGCTTCGAATTCAAACACCCCTAATTTAATTAGTTGAATTTTACAACATGCTTGTTGAGGGCAGCGGGTTTATTCTTGTTGTCCCCCAAAATGGAGCTCTTGAATCCACACAGGGACTATGGTGTTTATTCTTGTTTTCCCCCAAAATGGGGCTCTTGAATCCACACAGGGACTATGGTGTTTATTCTTGTTGTCCCCCAAAATGGGGCTCTTGAATCCACACAGGGACTATGGTGTTTATTCTTGTTGTCCGCCAAAATGGGGCTCTTGAATCCACACAGGGACTATGGTGTTTATTCTTGTTGTCCCGCAAAATGGGGCTCTTGAACCCACACAGGAACTATGGTGTTTATTCTTGTTGTCCCCCAAAATGGGGCTCTTGAATCCACACAGGGACTATGGTGTTTATTATGGTATTTCAGTTTATGAGAAATGATGTGTTTAAAACCATCATCATCAAGTACCTTGTCAACTGGCATGGATGATTAAGCCTCTCCACCATCTGCGATCTTCAGCAGCATGTATCGGTTCCTGTGCTGACACCCCCTCCATGCCACGACACAAGGCTGTCTCCTGTCTTCTCTTTCCACAAGTGGTCATGTGTTCGTTTCCTACTTGTAAAAATGACTACTTGTCTCTTTCTGATGTTTTCTCGAAGCATTTCAGTTTCATAGAAATGTTATTGTTACAGGCGTGGTTCCCCTCGATATTCAGACAATGCTCAACACATCATCATCATCATGTGCCCTGCCAACAGGTGTAGGCGCTCATGTGTCTCCACAGATCACGATCCCTGGTTGCCTGGAACAGTTCTCTTGATGATTCCCTTCATGCCATCATTTCAGCCGATCCAGCATCATCTCTCCTGGTCTGCCTCTAGCCCTTTTTTTCCACTGATCTTTACAGTTGTCAGGATCTTCTCCAGTATCTATTTCTCTTCTCATTATGTGGCCAAAGAACAGTGTTTGTCTCTTTCTTATTGTTCTATAGAGAGATCTACTTTCATTAGCTTCTTTCAAGCAATTGTTAGTTACTCTGGACGTCCAAGGTATTCGTAACATTCGTCTCAGAAACCACTTCTCTGTTGCTTCCAAATTCTTCCTAATATGTTCTCTGACATTCCAAGATTTGCTGCCATACAGCAGAACAGGTTCTATGTAACATTTTAGCACCCTCTTTCAACACATATTAGGCTGTAATGAACATCTATGCTTGAACGATTTTAGTATGCTCAGGAAGATAGAGTAGTCACAGAACCAATACTAAACTTTATAGGTAGACAACAAATCAAATGGTTGGCCATGTAATAAGATTGGCATCAAACAGGTTACCACAGAGAGCAATGTTATAAAGATACAGCAGTAACAAAGTCAGAGGTCGACAGCGCAGAAATATCAGAGACACTGAAAAGTACTTTATACAAAGCGACCAGAAGGGCCAGTTCCAGAGATCTCTTCCTGCCATGACGTCATGAGACATTTCAGGACTAGAGGAAAGAAGAAGAATGAAGGTAGAGATAGGATGGCTCCAAAGACTGGTTGGAGTCTCTGAAGCAGTCAGGGCTGACATATATCAGTTTCATATTCCTGCCAGGGCACACAGATGTGCAATGACATGAGCAGGCCAATGTGCTTGCAGGTAAAGCTACCATGGAAGGCGGATGTGCCATGGACTAGTCTGATATACTGAATGCTCTACAAGAAATGAGATGTTTGCGACAACCAAGTGATGACTGAATCTGCAACCATGACCAGACCGCAAGAACAGCATGTTAAAAGGGGTGTGGACAGACAACAGCACTGTGCAGGAAGCCAAACACAAGAAACTAATTTATGACTGGTGTCATCAGCCGCCACACGCTGTGGGATTTACTGAGGAGGGGATCCGAGCACTTATGGACTGAATAGTTTGATGTGCAATAATGATAACTGTCATCTAACAGTATGCTCCATGACACTTTTTTTGCTATATATATATATATATTTTTTTTTTGTTTTTGGGACACATACTTTAAATGCATTACAACAAAAGTGTGTCTGTTGCAGGTGATTCTATAAACTGAGCTGTCATATTTACAAGATCATAGTTTTGTTCATGATGACACAATGTGTTCCAATGCACAAATTACACTACAGACCATGAATATAAAGTGAGAAAACAGCATTCAGGCAATCATTCATTCAATACGAAAAAGAAAAAAAAATGAAATGGCCTGCTGCCCATTCACATGCTTCTGCAACGTGGGCTTTTGTATTTAACATCATTATAGTTTTGCTCATTACAACAAAACACGTCAGTCTGTGATTAACAATTACACTTTAATGATACAATTAGCTCCTAGGCACCTTTTACAATTGAAAATGAATGACTAAACAAAACCGGTACTCAGTCGGTCATTCTTGAAATATGTTAACTGCAATGCCCACCGCAAAAGATTTTACAAAATGGGCTTTCATATTCACAAAAGATTGTATTTTGATGATTATGAAGTGACCAGTTTTTCTGTCCTTGTCATCTTTCTTCTCAATCTAGGCCACCATAATAATGTAAGTTTTAACCGCTGAAGCAAGATTAAGACATGGTCAACTAAACCAGTTACAAGTCGATCTATGCACGTGAGGATCAGCAGCACAAAAAAGGGGGATAGGGTGTGTGTGTGGCAAACCTATTGCCCATTAACAAGAATGTCGTAAAAAGCGACCAAAAAAGGTTTTGCCAAAATCACATGTGCTCGGTCCAATGGCAGAGATATCCCAACCTAGCTGTAAACCACACTATGCCAAATATCCTTGTAATTTTCAGGACCTTATATATCCCCTGGCATCTTTCTGTCTCTGCAGATGAATGTCCCATTGTATTGCAAATGATCTCAGAAAATCCCAGTCCATGGCGCTAACGAAAGACCAGCTCTGGTTAATGTATTCCACAAAAGAAAAGTCCATGAGAGTTCAGGGCTATTGTAGGCATCACATAAATCTGACATGATTCTTCTCAGACATTCTTCTTCTGCATGCATCCAAAGATGTAACTGCACTGTGCCCGTTTACAGCATGGCTGCGATATTTGCACCTTTCGGCCGACACATCCGACTTCTGCAGGCATTTTTTGACCGGGTTAGCCTTTCCGGTTAGTTTCATGGGACACTGTTGTGTGGTCATCCCTGTTTTCCCAGGTCACACGTGGTGCCGCAGATCAGATCAGTCTAGAGAAGCTGATCAGCCTTCAAGAGAAGGCAGAGGCAAAACATGAGCAATCCCTGCCCACTTGAACGTACACAAGCACCCATGCATGCACAAATGCCTCTACACATACAAACACATAGACAAACATATACATACACGCCCACATACCTATTCATGCTCACACACTCTCACACTTACTCGTAAGTACTTATCATACAAGCTGTCTAATTATAAAATGAGAGATCGAGTGAGCCACACAAGTTACAATCGGATCTACACACAGATTTCCTTTTTCTTTTCTTCCACCTTGTACCTCAGCGAAGTGACGGGGGGAGATGCAACATTCATTGATAAGCTCTGTCAAGAGCACAATTAAGATTGATGTTCATTTCTGTAAGGCTGTTCAAATGCCATCACTCCATATTTTCCAAGGTCTTCCACTCGCTGTGGCACACAGTACCTGGGTATTATTATTAGGTGTCCAAACCACTTCACTTGTTCTTTGATGACCTGTAAGACCGGCTTTATTCCTAGCATTCGTCTGATTTCGTATTCTGTCTATCCTTGAAACTCATGCAGCTCTTCTAGAGCATTTCAACTCTGGCCCACAGCGGTATAGCAAGTGGCCCGCAGATCACCTGCTAATCGTATTGTATTATTAATCTTTCTATGCTAGGGCACATGCTTCTGGCCCGCGACAATCTCTATTTTCTCAACATTTTGACCCCAAGGTAAAAGTTTAATGGCTCTGGCTTAGAGTAAGGGGTAAACATGGAAAAGGGGAACACAATATTACAATTGAGAGGACAATATCAACATGATCTGAAGATGCTCCATAAAAACGGAGAATGGAAACTAAGTGCTCAATACAGTCAGCTTTCATCAGGATGACATTAAAAGAAATCAATACCCTAAACCCACAAAAAACTACTTCTTGCTTAACAAGCTCAGTGTTGTTATCTGTATTCTCTTCTTCTTTGGGGCTTCTTGTTCTTTCTCCTCACTTTTAGCTCCATCCACTGCCGTAACCTTTGGCACACCTTTACTACTGTCTGCCTCAACACTGCTAGATTCTGTAATCTCCATTGAGCTAACTTGTTCTGATAGTTCTGTCTGATGAGATTCTGCTGCCGGTACATTGTCTGCATTCTGAGTACCTGAGGCATCCGTTACAGCCGAGGTATGCTTGTTCTTGTTTGACATGGGTTTAGTCCCGTCTTGATGGGACATGGGTTTAGTCCCGTCTTGATGGGACATGGGTTTGCTCTTTCTGGATCTTTTTGGTGTTTTTTCATCACTAGTTTCTGCAGATGATGATGATGATAAACTGGTAGATGTCGTTTCTGGAGATTTGTTACTGTCTGTGTCTTCATTTGATCGATTCTGACAAAAAGAAATATTTTACTGAATGTGTATAAAAAAAAATCATATGCATATGGTAAAAGATTACATAAGATACGTTGGGAATGTACACTACATGTGGAATGATTTTAAATGCCACTGTCATGTTCCCTACTTAGTCAAGTATGAAAACGTATAGTTGGTCAAGATTAGAATTCTAGCTAAAACTTCCCCACTTAATCAGGTATGTAACAGACTATAGTTAGTCAAGATTAGAATTCTAGCTGAAACTTCCCCACTTAGTCAGGTATAAAATAGACTGTTAGTCAAGATTAGAATTCTAGCTGAAACTTCCCCACTTAGTCAGGTATAAAACAGACTACAGTTAGTTGAGATTAGAATTCTGGTTGAAACAGACTACAGTTAGTTGAGATTAGAATTCTAGCTGAAACAGACTACAGTTAGTTGAGATTAGAATTCTAGCTGAAACAGACTACAGTTAGTTGAGATTAGAATTCTAGCTGAAACTGACTACAGTTAGTTGAGATTAGAATTCTAGCTGAAACAGACTACAGTTAGTTGAGATTAGAATTCTAGCTGAAACAGACTACAGTTAGTTGAGATTAGAATTCTAGCTGAAACTGACTACAGTTAGTTGAGATTAGAATTCTAGCTGAAACAGACTATACCCCAAATGCACAAACACCTGTAGCTTGTGAGGATGTTAAAACCATGAATCCCAGGCAGCATGAGGAAAGCTTGAAATCCAAGTTGAGAATTCTAAACTTGAGGAACTTTCGTCTGTTTCATACCTGATTACATGTGAAACATGACAGCCCTCTTGTGTAAAGAGATGTACACTACATAATCTTATATCACATTTAACAGAGACATAATCTGTGGTGAAGTGGTCAAACTGTTTGCCTCATGCTCCAAAGGCCGTGGGTTTGTTGCACAGACTGCAACATTCTGTTCGCTGGTGCAGTTTTCTTAGGGAGATCTTTTAGGATTATTGCTGGAGATACAGGGCTTGTGCTTTGCGCAATGCTCTCGATAAACAGCTCCATTTTGTGGACGGAGACTGAGCCATACAGGGTAAAAACACCTTGCGTTATGAAGTAAACATTCTTGATTTCAGATTTAAACAATAAGAAATGTTTACTAAAGCGCACCTACAGCTGACTATAACCTACATCTCCGCACCAGAGTTGTGTACCCTTCTCCATGTCATCAGGCATACTGGGTATATAGGGCTGCACCTATAGTTTATAAACCAATCAGCGCTCGGTGGGTGATGTCATCAGCATCAGGCTGGCCACTGTTACTTCCCAGGACTGTACCTACTACACATTTAAGGCTGGGTCAATCTGAGAGGCAAGGACCTTTTTTCTGTTAAAGTCCGGCTCCCTCAGGACCTGAACCCACGACCTTCAGATCTGCAGGCAACCATCTAGACACCACACCACAGCAGAGTCCCAACCTGAAATGTATACACAGTAATGAGCTGGGAAGTAGAGACGGCCAGTAGGATGGTGACCTAAGCGAGAGCTTCAAAAATATGCTCCTAGCCTCATATACCCGAAGCACCACTAGCATTAAAAAAAGGCCTTCATATATTTGTCTGTTGGCTTTGGCACCTCCAGCAAATGAAAACTGCATTTACTGCATGCACATATTTCTGAATTCATCTGGGACTAACTGTTTGTTCACCCGTTCTTCAAATGCGACAGTGAGGGACATTTCATTTGATTTGCACTGGCACAGGAACGGAGCAAGTATGGGGAAACCCGATTGCAGTGAAGTTGAAACCTCAACAAAAACTATGAGATCAAAGACACTAGCTTGACTATGAAGATAGCATACACTTGCACATCAGGACACTTGCACGGTTGGTGGAGCATACAGCAACTTATGCACTGATAGTCACAGACCCAATGAGCATGTCTCACTCTTTCAGTCGCAAGGAATGCATCATATGTTCCTACTTAGAAGCCCACTGAACGCATGATGCACCAATAACACTTTCCTTACTAATAACCATTGGGTCTCTGAAGCTAAACCCCATGGGGTGCAGAAGATCCAAACTGATAAACTCTGACTAGAAAGGGTCGTGACAGCATCCTGAAGTCCTGCCTCAAGAAAGTATCTTTACACACTGGAAATGCAGGCTTGAAAGGAAATGAATTAGCTGATAGACTGGCCAAGTCTGCAGGGGTTAGTGAAAGAAAACATGATGGTTATGGCAAACATACTGAATTAAAAAGGGAGGGGGGGGGGGCTGCTAGTCTTGAGGCATGGTGTCCGCACTGAGTGCTAGAGGTCCCGGGTTCAGGCCCCGGTGAGGGCTGGAAAATTGTATGTGGACCTGTAGTAATTTTTTCTGGTGTCTGGGAAGTAAGACAGGACGCCTGTGTGTATTGTTGCGCACGTAAAAAATCCCTTGGCAGTTGGAAATCAAAAAGAGTAGCCTAATGGCGCTGCCCAGACAAAATTTTGAGTTAAAAATCCATCCAATGTATTTCAGGATCCTCGCCGGTGCAACAGAGTTTGTGTACTGGGCTGAGATTCTTCAGACTCAGGTTTGAGTTAGAAGAAGAACGAAGCACTTATGGGTTACACCTGTGTACCAGGATGTTGATCCGTTGAATGAACACAAACATAAACAGAATGAAAAAGACTTTGAGACAAAGGAGTCAGAGATGACGGACAGCCAGTTGGAAATGGGTATTAAACAGGGACAAGCGTGCAGAAACTGGTTGAGGAGCAAATAAGAAAAGTATGTCAATCGATTCTTGTCAGGTAGGTTGAGCATGGCTGCTGTATGGGAGGATAGAGCATGAACAGGTCAGACAAATGTGCTAGGACGTTGACATGGACAAGACAATAACAAGAGTCAAAAATGCAAACAACTTTCTGTCTCAGACATGTCCACATCTCACCTTCGCTGTGGAGAGAATGTTTGCTTTGTTGACATCTGCACATGAATCTTTGTATGGCACGCCCAGTTCATTATCTTCAAATGTAGCAATCGTACAGAATCCATCAGTTGAAGAGATTATCAAAGCTCTCCCATCACCTGACCTGTGCAACAGATTTAAAAAAGAGATATTCATGCCGTATTTTCTACCATTGCTGGTGTGAGACAGAGAGTTTTGTTTCTGCTTCTTCTTTTTCTCAGCATTCATTGGCTGTAAACTCCAGCAGAAAATTCTCGTTGTTCATCCATTTCTGCACTTTAGTCCTGTTCCAGAACTGGACTTGCATAAATATGTGTTTTACAGATCTGGCTTACTTGTGTTCAGACCGCTAGTTCCTCACCTCTCAAGCAGGTGCTCTCCGACTTCAAAGGAAATCTTTCACGACATGCTTGTCAAAGGACAGTGGGTCTTTTCCCGTCACCCCCCCCCCCCCAAATATGGTCCCCAAACCCACATGTGAAGGATGTTGTTACAATCTGAGACAGTTTCATCTGGCAGTCAGTATACAGTGGGGTACTAGGGTTCGCTCCCTGTCACGGACGGCAAACAAATATTGTTCTTGCGATTTTTGGACAATGATATGAGAGTCACACTGTGGAAGAGACTGAGGCCTCACTGCGTTAACATTCCCCCCCCCCCCCAAAAAAAATGGTGGTACACCGTAGCCAACCTTCTTTGGGGAGACGATGCACAACTTTATTATACATGTCCAATACCAGACACTGCCACCAAAGTGTGAAGTTTCTATGCATATCTATCTCATTTATTTATGCTACCAAAGTAGGAAGTTTCTATGCATATCTATCTCATTTATTTATGCCACCAAAGTGTGAAGTTTCTATACATATCTATCTCATTTATTTATGCCAGCAAAGTGTGAAGTTTCTATGCATATCTATCTCATTTATTTATGCCAGCAAAGTGTGAAGTTTCTATGCATATCTATCTCATTTATTTATGCCAGCAAAGTGTGAAGTTTCTATGCATATCTATCTCATTTATTTATGCCAGCAAAGTGTAAAGTTTCTATGCAAATCTAACTCATTTATTTATGCCAGCAAAGTGTAAAGTTTCTATGCATATCTATCTCATTTATTTATGCCAGCAAAGTGTAAAGTTTCTATGCAAATCTAACTCATTTATTTATGCCAGCAAAGTGTAAAGTTTCTATGCATATCTATCTCATTTATTTATGCCACCAAAGAGTGAAGTTTCTATGCATATCTATCTCATTTATTTAAATGCAAACACAAAACTTATAACTGGTTTTAATCAGCTGTAATAAACAGGCTATTCTGTGAATTTTGTGGGGAGGGGGGGGGGGGGGGAGTAATGTAGATAATGATGGGGGAACTGATAGAGATATAAAAATAAGAATACTAAAGGCAAGAGGAGCTTTCATAGCACTAGGAAATTTGTGGAGGTCAAAAGAAATTAAAAGAGATTCTATACTGTTTACTATATCAACACCATCCATGCCATCTTCACAGTAAAGGCTGGCTTCATGGCACCACTGCTGACTGTGGGAATGTTACCTGATGTGGCTCCCAATTTCTTCCATGGTGCCACTCTCGTACCACTGTCTGAAATCTACAAGGGCTTTTATCAACAATAAGCTAAGATGACACAGGCATGGTCTCTCAGCCCTACACTTACCAGGATAAGTCACTGATCTGATGGTAGTGTATGTTCTTCAGTAGGCCTACAGGCATGGTCTCTCAGCCCTACACTTACCAGGATAAGTCACTGATCTGATGGTAGTGTATGTTCTTCAGTAGGCCTACAGGCATGGTCTCTCAGCCCTACACTTACCAGGATAAGTCACTGATCTGATGGTAGTGTATGTTCTTCAGTAGGCCTACAGGCATGGTCTCTAAGCCCTACACTTACCAGGATAAGTCACTGATCTGATGGTAGTGTATGTTCTTCAGTAGGCCTACAGGCATGGTCTCTAAGCCCTACACTTACCAGGATAAGTCACTGATCTGATGGTAGTGTATGTTCTTTCAGTAGGCCTACAGGCATGGTCTCTAAGCCCTACACTTACCAGGATAAGTCACTGATCTGATGGTAGTGTATGTTCTTCAGTAGGCCTACAGGCATGGTCTCTAAGCCCTACACTTACCAGGATAAGTCACTGATCTGATGGTAGTGTATGTTCTTCAGTAGGCCTACAGGCATGGTCTCTAAGCCCTACACTTACCAGGATAAGTCACTGATCTGATGGTAGTGTATGTTCTTCAGTAGGCCTACAGACATGGTCTCTCAGCCCTACACTTACCAGGATAAGTCACTGATCTGATGGTAGTGTATGTTCTTCAGTAGGCCTACAGGCATGGTCTCTAAGCCCTACACTTACCAGGATAAGTCACTGATCTGATGGTAGTGTATGTTCTTCAGTAGGCCTACAGACATGGTCTCTCAGCCCTACACTTACCAGGATAAGTCACTGATCTGATGGTAGTGTATGTTCTTCAGTAGGCCTACAGGCATGGTCTCTAAGCCCTACACTTACCAGGATAAGTCACTGATCTGATGGTAGTGTATGTTCTTCAGTAGGCCTACAGACATGGTCTCTCAGCCCTACACTTACCAGGATAAGTCACTGATCTGATGGTAGTGTATGTTCTTTAGTAGGCCTACAGGCATGGTCTCTAAGCCCTACACTTACCAGGATAAGTCACTGATCTGATGGTAGTGTATGTTCTTCAGTAGGCCTACAGGCATGGTCTCTAAGCCCTACACTTACCAGGATAAGTCACTGATCTGATGGTAGTGTATGTTCTTCAGTAGGCCTACAGGCATGGTCTCTAAGCCCTACACTTACCAGGATAAGTCACTGATCTGATGGTAGTGTATGTTCTTCAGTAGGCCTACAGGCATGGTCTCTAAGCCCTACACTTACCAGGATAAGTCACTGATCTGATGGTAGTGTATGTTCTTCAGTAGGCCTACAGGCATGGTCTGCTGGGTGTCATAGAGCAACACGGATTCCTCGGTGCCAACCGCAAACACAATGCGGTAGGGTAAACTGAAAGACAACACACCAAAATTAAATGATAGAAAAATGAAATACACAAGTCAAACACAATGTGGTATGATAAAATGAAATACAAGCAAAACATGTATGGTAACCTGAAATACAAGTAAAACATGTATGGTTACCTGAAATCTGAGCAATATATGAATGTTAACCTGAAATACGGGCAAAACATGTATGGTAACCTGAAATACAGGCAAAATAGGTATGCTAAACCGAACATGGGCACAAAGTATATGGAAAACTGAAATACAGGCAAAATGTATATAGTAAAAGGAAATATGGGCAGAACATCTTTATTCTGACCCGAACTGTGACTCCTTTCTTCTGGTGAATCGCTATAACTAGGGCAGATATCTGAGGTAGGGTTTATATTCGACGTGCCCCTAAAAAGCATGCCAGGGCTTATTTGGTTAGGTCCTTTGGGGAGGGGGGGGGGGGGGGTGAAGGTAATCCTTTTTCTCCGTCTCCTATACTCTTCTGTAATTAGTGCCGTAGGAAAAATAATATCTTTTGAAAAGCTGCCTGAAGCGTGTGCAGCTTCCTTAAGCCTTTACATTTTATATTTCTCTCAAGCTACACATTTAACTTTTCTAAATACTTTTACTTTACACGTATCACTAACTTTTTCGCTCCAGGAAGCCATAAAAACTGGCACTTCTGGGTGGTACCATTTCCCTGTAACAGCTGCTCTCCTGACTCGCTATAGGACATGTTTACGAGACACCTCGCTAACAGAGCTCAGCGCATTTGCATCTCAGCAACCATTCCCGGTGATAGGAGATGACTTCATTTATTTAAAATTTGCATATATGGGGGTTTCCTGTTTTAAAAGAAATGCTATATTTATAGGAAATTCCCACATCATATTTCTCAAATTGGCTAAGGTACAGTGTCACGCTATTATTAGTTTACAGGTTCCTCCCCAAGAGAGGTAAATCATTGGATTCTACACTACATTTATTTTTTACTGATTATTTAACTGACTTTGTATAGTACTTGTTTGTGTTTCGAATGTGCAGGGAAACATTTTGACGTATGTAAAATGGTTTTATTCAAGATTTTTTTATTTATAGAATTTCTGAAAATGGAAATACAGGAGCTTTGTTTTGTTTGTTTTTCTTTGTCACTGGGGATGAAAGAGTTAAGGTCACTTTATTGTTTGACAAATAGCGAACAGCCTTACCAGAATAAAGACTTTGCTTTCTCCCATGGTTTTGTCTTATCCACTTCATTTTCTGAAGAAGATTTAAAAAAGCAATGGTTTGTTATTCTGTGTGTAGGTATGTGAATACTGATGGACAGGAGAGAGAAATAGTACAGCAAACTGGAACACAGCAGGCAAATAATGTATGGTAAATAGCCCTGAAGACTTATGCATGTGTAGCCCAGCATAGACAGAAAGACAGAAGACTGAGAATGTGTATTTCCATACCTGAGTACATATAGCTAATCATCATTAAGTGTGTTGCTGATTGGTGTGGGCAATCATGCATCTTCACAATGTGTGATTTTCAACAGAATGTATGAGTTTGTGTGCTGATAAAAGACTGTCAAAAATCCTTTTGCATTATCTACATGTCTCTTTTTCCACAAATCTCTCCAGTGGTTCCATGTTCCAGCCCCCCCCCCCCCCCCCACTTTTTTAAAAATATCATGTGATCATACACATGCACACAAAAGTTGTGTTCAAGACCAAGGGTTCTTTTAAAAAATTCTGGGTTGATCCTTTTTGGCTCTCTATTGAATTCTAAATTCTTCCAGAAGGTTGTTATGGGAGCAGGGTTCTGCAAAGGACAGGCTACTGACTGACTGAATGAATTCTAAGAATTCTTCTGTAGAATTAAGCTAATAAGTGACTAATATAATATGTACAGATGCAGAAGATGTGAGAAATAAAGAGTACATGATTATGTATGTAAGTCAAAGTACATATTTATTATAGAAATATACAGGGAGCTGCCATGGTGTATCAGCTAGACACTCGCCTGCAGATCCAACGGTCATGGGTTCAAGGCCTGATGGAGCTGGGCTTTTTTTTTTAATTTCCTTGGCTGCCAGCGTGTTGTTGACCTTATCACTCACCAAGTGCGACTGGTCTATCAAATATAGGTCCAGCCTGATATACCCGATACCCTTGAAGGTCTAGAAAAGGGTCCTTTACTTTACTTATTGATTTCAATAATACAGACAATATGTCACGGACCATCTCAAACTACCTTCCAAAGGATGTGTCTAGTGCCATTTTTGTTTTTGTGCTATAAAAGGCTCACAACACTGCTTCAAGGATAAATCTTGTGTTGAGTTGGGTCAAGAATTGACATCACAGCACTTAGAGCATTCCCATGCATGATCCATCCTCATCATCAGCAGCCAGCGCAGTTTCAATACTGATGGTACCGATCACAATCTGGTTATATGTCGATCTTGCCTTTCCTCTGAGTGTAGTGAGCCTGTCAGACCCTCTGGTTACACCCAGGTGCCTCATTCTCTCCAGGCCATAATAATCTTGTTTCTCTACTGATTCCATTGCTTGTTCACAAAGGGCCTTGACCACATCTTCCATGTCAGGATACATCTTGTGTCTGCTCAGGATCATCATAGTCCCCTAAAACCATGTGTTGCTGGGTCATCGGTCATCACTGACCATCTGATCAGTTCCCTCCGCCTACTGGTCAGATGCAATGGACTTAGCATTGCATGTTTATGGCCCAGCCATTAGGGCAAATTCTGTATTCAGCCTTTCTTGGTTCCCTCTATCTCTGTCAATCAGATGCAAAAGAGATGGTGTTTGAGGCAAAAATTGTGTCTTCTTCTATTCATTTACTGGCTGTGAACTCTGGTGGAAAGCTCAGGTTGTTTGTCCACTTCTGGACTTTAGTCTTGTTATCCCAGAACCTGAGTTTTGCGATCACATCTATTGTACACATGTGGCTTATTTGTAAGGAGACTGTTGGTTCTTCACCTCAGGCAGATGCACTTCGACTTTAAAGGAAACACAATAATTAGTTACCTTTATTAACTTGCCTGTTATTGGGGCAATTGAAACTTTTTTCACCAGAATGTGGCACCAGAAACCCACATAATAAAAGCCAAATTATGTATCCAGGTGTTTTTTTCTCTCCTCTAATGAGCCCTGTCAATCAGAAATAGACACTGTTCTTTGGTCACGTAATGAGAAGAGAGGCACTAGAAAATGTGACAACTGGAAAAATCAGTGGAAGGAGGGGTAGAGGCAGACCAAGAGAGATGTTGCTGGATGGGCTAAAATGATGGCATGGAGGGATATCATCAAGGGAGCTTTTCCAGCTAACGAGGAATCCTGATCTGTGGAGATGCATGAGCGCCAATGCCAGTTGGCAGGGCACATGATGATGAATGAAAGAGCCCTGTAGCAAGGACACAAGTTAATGGGTGGGGAAATGTCCATCTGGAGTGGATTCTGCCATGGTTGAAACACTACCGGAAGCATATCTGAACATGATAAGCAAAAATATTCCAGAATCTTTAGTTTGTATATACACACCCTTACCTCCATCTATGACCTTTGGCTGACTGCTGGCGTTTTCAGAAGGCCTGAGTTCAAACAACTGGGGATTAGCTCTAACAACTGTAGTTGTCTTCTCAGGACTTGGCAGATACACAGCAGGTCTAAATTAATAGTGAATCTTATTAGCGTTAAAACTCACCTATGCCTCAAGTTAAACCTTACAATTGAATCGCTATTACATGTTTTTTTTTTTAAACACACAAATTAATCATGAATATTGTTATAGAAACCTGACAATTTAATCATGTAAACTATTACGTTTCTTTTTTTTTTTAAAACACACAAATTAATCATGAATACTGTTTTATAAACCTGACAATTTAATCATGTAAACTGTCACATGTTTCTTATTTAACATAAAAATTTATTATGATTATTATATTATAAATCTGACAATTTAATCATGTAACTTATTACATGTTTCTTTTTTTTTTTAAACATAGAAATTAATCATGAATATTGTTTTATAAACCAGCTACGCCTGTCTAGCATTTTTTTTCCCTCCTTCTTCTAGCATTTTTTGTCTCTTTGTCTTCTTGTTTTTTTTTTCTTTGTCCTTAAATGTTTCACCACTGACATAAGTGGTTCTTCAAGACCTGCAAACCTGTTTACTTCATCGCTGAAACAGATAGTTGCTTTGTGATCCCAATACCATGCATAAAGATTTTTTCTAAAGCAGTTGTATTTAACTGAGTGCACGCTATGTGATGGTTGCTCAATAAAAAATGAGTGTGCAACTGATGACAAAAGGGTCCTTCGTCTTTTTTTTAAAATTTATATTTAGACGACTATGTCTCTATTCAATTTCTGAGGTAATGATTCAAATTTCACACTGACATAAGAGAATGAACATCACAAGTGTCCTTTCTAGTTTCGTTGTGATAGAAAGAACCTTCTGCTATCTGCCATTACAAATTAAGATAGCATGAGTTTAGGGATGAATACTGATCTTCCAAAAGAAATGATTGCTCACATAATTCACTGCAGACATTTTTATGAAATTCTGAACATTTCACAAACCATAGGCAATCACTGCTGTGGGGTTATATTCCGCACAACAATGATCTTAAACAAACATCTCTTACTTAGAAAAAGCTCCTCTTGCAAAAACAAAAGATGTGTTGACGATCTTGTCTCCAAGTTCCATGCAACCGGCAGGAGCCAGCAACAACTGTCCATCAGGCGAGAACTCCAAACGTCGGAAAAAAGAACGAAGACTGTCGTCGTGAAAAATCCTGAAGGGTTTCAGTTTTGTTTCTAAAGTGTTTGTTGAAGCATCCGTTGAGGCAGGAGTTGGTGCTGCCAAAGGGGGAAGTGTCATCTTGCTGACGTTATGAACACAGCTCTTTGTGGTAAAATTGTACAGTCTAAGAGACCTGGTAATCACAGATTTAAAAAAAAGGTGTCAAAGGCAGACAATTTAAGAAACAGCTTTGATCAAAATACAATGTTTCCCGCAGGGGTCATGTGCCCCAAACAGAATAATCTGCTACCCGCTTAATAAACATAATGTAAAGAGCAACTGATTTATCGATGCGCTTTCAGATGTTCAACTAAAAAGGTACAGATATCGCAGCCTTTTAAGGACAGCACAGAAGAAGAAGAAAGAAAATACAATGTTGCTATGCAAATGATACTAATAATGTTACCACTGAATCTGTTCTGTCATTCATAAATATGTCATCTCCATGGCTTATTGCAAAAGTCTCTTCTTATGTGTTTGCCCTTAATCAGTTTCACCCCGAGAAGAAGCAAATCCAGCAGATACATCTGTTACAAATCCCACCACATGTCGTTAAAGTGGCATAGTTGCGGTGACGTGTCATTCAGAAGCTTAGTTTACAGCTCTGGCTCTGTTTGTCTACGTGCAGTGTTTAGGAGGCCCCAGACATGCCTATATTTTTTTTTAAATAGTATTGGGAGGTTGGGTGGGGGGGGGGGGGGGGGGTATTGTAAATCAATGGCTTCTTCAAGTGATTAAGACAAGAGAATTTGCTTTGACATAGTACTCAGCAACAGGGTCAAGTACTAGTCACCAAATACTTTTTTTAGACCTAAGGGTCTCTACTGGGTTCGTATTTATTTATTACTTTCCTCACTTTATATATATATATATATATATATATGTGTGTGTGTGTGTGTGTATATGTATTTACACACATATATAACCCCATTATCAACATAATGCCGACTGGTCTGTAAAAATATGGGAGCTTTTCTCACATGCCCGATGCGCCTAAGGCGTAAAAAGGGATCTTTACTTTACTTCAATTGGACAGCAGACAACTCTGTTATCGCAGGATGCCCTAATTTGAATTTAATAGACTTGACTTCTTCTTTCTCTAGACCCCATCTGTGGAAAGTTCTGGCTGTTAACCACCTTTGGACTTAGGTGTTGTTACAGAACTTGAGTTCTACATGCACATCTGTTTTACAAATCTGGCTTATGCAGACTGTTAGTTCCTTGCCCCTCAGACTGATGTACAATGACTTCAAAGGAAACACCCCTATTTAGTCGACTTCTGTGATATGCTTGTTAACAATGGGCCCTGGAAACCACTTGGAGAAACTGAGTAGTTAAACAAGGTTTCTATGCTGGATTAACATCTTGTGGCCACTCACTGTCCAATCCTGGGGGGGGGGGGGGGGGGGGGGGGGGGGGGGGGTTAAAACAAATCTACAAACAGCCATACAACACACAGAAGTTTTAGAGAACAATGGTAAGTTAGATAAGACAAATCAATCATGCTTACCTGTCAGCACTTAAGGTGGCCACATAGGTACCAAGAGGATCAAAGGCTACACCTTGAACATAGCTCTTGTGTTCTTTAAAGAGAGCATATTTCACACCTGCGGAATATGTCACACAAGATTTAGAAAACACAACTTCCTCCTTCTGTTTCTTCTTCTTCTGCATGTTCTTCTTCTTTCCCCTCCTCCTTTTCCTGTCCGTCTTCATCATCATCTGTTTCTTCTTCTTCTATTTCTACTTCTTTTTCTTCTTCTATTTCTACTTCTTGTTTTTCTTCTATTTCTACTTCTTCTATTTCTTTCATTTCTTCTTTTATTTCTCCTACTTCTTCTTTTATTTCTACTTCTATTTTCTCCTCTTCTTCTTCTAATTCCTGCTCTTCTTCTTCTTCCCCCTCCTTTTCTCCCCCTCTTCATCATCATCTGTTTCTTCTTCTTCTTCTTCAGGACTTATTTTATGTGTCAATGCTTCTTCTTCTATGTTCCTTCACTAAAAGAAGTGTTTGATAACTACCATAAACTGTGTCATACACGTCAATTTCACGACTGTTGGCTCAAATTTCTCTATGTTGATGTTTATTTGATGGATCAACACCATATCATACGGGGGTAACCCATAAGTGTTCTCTTCTACTTCTAACTCAAGCCTGAGTCTGAAGAATCTCAGTGCAGTGCACAACTCTGTAGGTTCCTGAAATTCTTTTTTTTTTTCCTGAAATACTTACTCAAAATTCTGAGTTAGGCATATATTTACCTAATACATTTTATACCCACATTTTTTTTAATGCCTGCAAACTGGACTTAGATTCAAATCCTCTCTGATGAGAGTACCTCACAACCAATTAAGCACCCTGGTAGACTGGCTAGGATTCTTGTCTACTGTCACAGGTTTGAACCCACATCAATGCAGATTTTAAAATTTATCTAGGTTCCAAAATCAACCCAATATACACTAAGAACAAAGAAATATTCCATGATTTTTTGGCAGTGGGAATGATATAAACACAACACATATCAACTGTGATTGGTTTTTATACACACACATATATACATACAAAGATACATAAATACATACATACGTATGCACGCAGGTGTAAAAACAGCCAACAGCAACAGGTCACTATAGACTTGTCAGAAAAGGGACATTTGCGGGGAAATAGTCCCAACTGGAAGTTTCAGTTTTGCGCCCAGTCAACATCTTCATCAGCAAGTGCAGAGTTCCAGTGCCGATGGCATCAGTAGGAGCATGTATATCTGTCTTGTCTTTCCCTTTTTGTTTTCTGACCAATTTTTGTTTTGTTTCAGTTGCAATTGCACTGCATCTTTTTTACAGGAGGGCTATAATATTTATGCCTTTTAGGCCAACATTTGATGTCCACAGGCATTTATTGATCAGGTTAACCTTCCCAGGGTATTTTTTGTTACAGACGACAAATGTGATAAGTTACAAAAAAAAGAGTAAAGGGCCCTTTTCCACGCCTTTAGGCGTATGGGTCATATAGGGCTAGACCTATATTTTTATAGACCAATCGGCACAAGATGGGTGATGTGGTCAGCATCACGCTAGCCGCCTCTAGTTCCCGGGACTGCACCCGGTACCCACTCAAGGCTGGGTCGACCTGGGAGCCAAGGTCATTTTGACAAATGTGATAACTTGTTATAAAACAAAGCTGCCTAGCTTACCTTTAGCCACGTCCCAAATGATTGCACAATTGTCCACTGACCCAGATATTAGGTAACTGTTGTCTTTTGACCAGGACAAATCCACAACATCACCCAAATGACCCCTACAGAAATGTAAACAAAACAAAAAAATAATAGCCACTGCCATTTGGGAAAAATGTGAAGCAAATGAAGACAATTTTCAAACACTAATGACGGACACAAAACTCATTTGTAGGTAAAATGTATCTGCACTACTTGAGTTTGTTTTCAAATAATCTAGCTTTTGACCTGACAAGAGTGGCTGTAGTGTTGCAGGTCAAGGGCTCAAATCTGTATTGAAGTAGGTTGTGTTTTCGGAACTGGTCTGGGCTTCCAGCTTGACAGCATAAAATGGGTAACAGGTCTGTGGAAATAAAGGCAGCCAGCGTAATGTTAACACAAAAGCTACAGTGTGCTGACTGCTCTATACAAATATGATGCTAGCATCATATGTCAGGTGCACCACAGGCGTGAACAGGATCCTTTCCCATAAATGTGGACTGTCGTATCTGCCATAAGACGGATATGTGCCTATTAGTACTCTGTATCACCCCTTTACGACATGTGTTAACTATTTCAGTCCCACCCAACACAAGAAATGTGCAACTGATTTTTTCCCCACTGAAACCTGACCACCAGGTAATGTGTTCTTAAACTCCATACGTTTGGTCAGATCATAATAAAGAAATCTGACTTTCCCAGTGATCACCTCCTCTGCATATTAAACTTCTTTAAAGGTAATGCAGAAGGGACAAAGTTTACAATCAGACATAACCTCAAGATGTTGAAACCATGGCCTTAGAAGAGTGGATCAGTCAGTTATGATGGTTTGGACATGTATGTAGAATGGGAGAAAATTGGCCATTACGGCAGGCATGCGAGGCTAAGAATCAGGGAACCAGTCCTTCATGGTGACCCAGGGTTCGCTGAGAAGACAACATCCGACAGTCCCTAACTGAGAGAGGACTGGAATGGAACAAAGCCAGAAAGAAAACTGCTGACAGAGAAGTCTGGCGATCTCTCTGGCAAACCTCCACACCCTTAAGTAGAAGAGTAAAGGTAAGATACTAATCATATTTTATAGTAACTATCTTCATCACTAAGAATGTTATGTTCTGCTAAGGTTATGGAACAGAAAGAATTAACTCTTCAGACCCAAACAATGCACCATGGGTACTGGATATTTTTTTATGTGCAGCAGTCAACATGTTTTGTGTCTATATACCCGGGAAGCTAACCTGGAAAACAAATGCCTGCAGAAGTAAGATGTGTCATCCTAAAGGCTCACAGCCATGTTGTAAACAGACAACGTATTTACATCTTTGGAAAAATGCATGAGAAAAAGAAGTACACCTGTACATCTCAAGTTTAGTAAAGCAAACTAAATCCAACAACATAAGTGACCGACAATGTGATGTGTATTTAGGCCCTATAGATGAAATATACCCATACTTTTGTTGTCCTCATCATTGCTTCAATCAGGCATCAGTTATAACATTCTGGAATTGAAGTGAATCTATTCTTCTTTTCCCCAAATCATGAGGGGGCTGCATAGTCTCAAAGCATGGTATCTGTCTTCAGTGCTAGAGGTTCGATCCCCGGTTTGGGCTAAGATTTTTTCATGTGGACATGGACTTCTAGTAATTCCGCCTGGTCTCTAGGTAGGACGATCGGACGCCTGTGTGTATTGTTGCGCATGTTAAAAAATCCCTTGGCAGTTGGAAATCGAAAAGAGTAGTCTAACGGCGCTGCCCGGGCCAAATTTAGAGTTTAAAATCTACCCAACGTATTTCAGTATTTTAGGATCCTCGCCGGTGCTACACAGCCTGCGCACCGTACTGAGCTTCTTTGGACGCAGACTTGAGTTAGAAAAAATAACGAAGCACTTATGGGTTAATACCCGTGTACCATGATGTTGATCCTTTGTTCAAAACCTCAAACTTCCCCAAAACATGGAGCACTGGAAAACCCAAACAGGGAAGCCAGCAGCTCAACTAACTATCACCATGTAGCAGGCCCTTTGCAGAATGTTGCTCTCACATGGTCTACCTGAAAAAAACTCTCGCCAGCTGTCCCGCCTCATGCACTTGAATATCCAAGAAGTCACTGAAATCCTGTGCCCATCTTTGTGTTGGTCGGCCCCTGCCCCTCCTTCCTAGTATCATGCCTTCTAACAAATTAAACTACCAACAAGGCAAACACATATCAACAGAAGACTCATCACCTTAGAGTTTTATGGCACACCCAAGTCTCCTTGTCGTCCTCAACATCATCCTCAGCAAAAATGTTGTTTGATGGTGCAGGGACATCGTTCAGTTTCCACAAAATAATCGTTGAATCTGCAAGTGTACAAGTTGAACAGTTACTTGCTCTTGTATGGTTCTGTAACTTACACCATTTCCCCTTGTACAAGTTGAACAGAGTGTTACATGCTCTTGTATGGTTCTGTAACTTACGCTATTTCCCCATGTATAAGAAGCCTTTACTTTCTTAAAATATAGGGTGGGTATTATATAATGGCCTGATATCATCATTCCTAGGTCAAACTGTCCTGATAACATCAAGCAAAACATGTAAACATTTAATTTCTGTCGTGACCAATTTTTTTCTGTCTTCTGAAGACAATGTCCACATTTAACACTGACAGCTCAGTGTTGGTGAGAATACTGTGTTGAACAGTGTTCTTTTAGTGTTCAGATTCACATGTTTTCATTTCAGGATTGGTGCCACCTGTCCTTCAACTCCGTTAGCGTACTTAAATCTTTGTTGGATTTCTTTATTTATTCTTCCGTTTTATGAAAAGATTCTAGAAACGTGAAGTCTTTTGCCTGCTTTAAATGTGCCTACTTTATCTGATGTTAATCAATTTTAATACCGGTGATTCTTACTTTATTTTGGTGAATGACATCAACTGCAACTTTCACGTTTTGTTTGTATTTGTTAAACTGTGAGGCTTGCTTACATACTTTTCTTTCGGTTTTATATCTTTCCTTCTATTTTTACAAACAAGTAATGGTTTCTTCTGTGGCCTTTATTATTAATGTAATTATTGGCCTTCAAATTTTTTTTTGGCAAGTCTTTGACAGTAGAGAACAAATGATGCAGGTGTTCCACACGACTAACGGATAAAGACTTACCATCTCCAGCTGTCGCAAGAAGCTCACCTGCAAAAGACAATTTCACATTTATTAAGCTGTTTAAATGTACATTTAATAATGTCAGATAATTTTATTAATTGTTTAACTGTGCATCTTATCACTTAGGATGATTTTAATCAAGTGTTAAACTGTACATCTTAACATTTTGGACGATATAATAAACTGTTTTATTGTACAGCTTACTATTTTAGAGGCGGCATCCGTGGCTTAGGTATTGCAGTCCGAATCGTAATTCCAACTCACCGCGATCAAATCCCACTGCTGGTTGCGTGGATTTTTATCATAGTATGGGGTGTCGCAGGTCGATCCAGCCTAAAATGGGTACCAGGAAGTATGTCCTGGGGAAGTAAAGACGGCTGGCTTAATGCTGACCAAATTAGGCACCTACTGCTGAATGATCTGTAAAAATATGGGTGCTCTTCCCATATGCCTGATGCGCCTAAAGGCGTGAAAAGGAATCTTTACTTAATTATTATTTTAGAAGATCTAATAAACAGTTTTATTGTGTAAATAAACTATTTTAGATGATTCAATTAACTGTTTAACTGTACATCTACTAATTTCAGATAAATCGCGGTAAGCTGATAACAGTAAAACAGAAACCACAAGCAGCATTCTCACAGCCGACATAAAAAACTTGCCATTTCTGGAGAAGCGAACCACGTTGACCGTTGCAGTGTGTCGCCTCAAATTAGATAAAAAGTCCACCTGAGCTTTGCCCTCTGAATCCAGAGTCATTTGCCATATCTGTATTGAAAGCAGTAAATTCAGAAAACCTCATTGTCTCTCTATATCATGTACATGTATACACGTGGGTTCACGAGTATATGTGGGTTCATGGGTACACGTGGGTTCATGGGTACACGTGGGTTCATGAGAACATGTGGGTTCATGAGTACAAGTGGGTTCATGAGTACACATGGGTTCATGAGTACATGTGGGTTCATGAGTACACATGAGTACATGTGGGTTCATGAGTATACATGAGTTCATGAGTACACGTGGGTTCATGAGTACACATGGGTTCATGAGTAGATGTGGGTTCATGAGTAGATGTGGGTTCATGAGTACATGTGGGTTCATGAGTAGATGTAGGTTCATGAATAGATGTGGGTTAATGAGTAGATGTGGGTTCATGAGTAGATGTGGGTTCATGAGTAGATGTGGGTTCATGAAGAGATGTGGGTTCATGAGTAGATGTGGGTTCATGAGTATATGTGGGTTCATGAGTAGATGTGGGTTCATGAGTACACGTGGGTTCATTAGTAAACGTGGGTTCATGAGTACACGTGGGTTCATGAGTACACGTGGGTTCATGAGTAGATGTGGGTTCATGAATACATGTGGGTTCATGAGTAGATGTGGGTTCATGAGTAGATGTGGGTTCATGAGTAGATGTGGGTTCATGAGTACATGTGGGTTCATGAGTACATGTGGGTTCATGAGTACATGTGGGTTCATGAGTACATGTGGGTTCATGAGTACATGTGGGTTCATGAGTACTTGTGGGTTCATGAGTAGATGTGGGTTCATGAGTACATGTGGATTCATGAGTACATGTGGATTCATGAGTACATGTGGGCCACGCGTACATGTGGGTTCATGAGTACATGTGGGTTCAATGAAGAGAATCCCCTCCTGAAGGTTCCATATTTTTGGCATTGAAACTCCAAAGACTCCATCTCCAAGGGGATAATAAATAACAGATGATAGAGTCGTGGTCGCAGTCTGGGTTCCAATCACTGAATCAATGATTACATGAGCATGATCGGGCGGGTCGAGGTGGGCTTCGTACACCGAGTCATTGCTAAACTCTAGCGACTACGGTGTTGGGCAATTTTCGGTCTTTTGGCAATAACGGCAATTTCCGTTACCATGGAAACCGTTCGAAACTTGTTTGGGAAATGTCGGCTGGTTTCGGGATGGGTCCCAATCTCTCATGAAATTTTGCGATTGGTGTGATTTTCACCAGCTATAAATAGCTGAAAACGGCGGGAACGAACCCGATTAACAGCGCATGTCTATGACAGCCGGACGTCCTCTGTTTTTCTGTTACATCAGTTTGATTCAAAATAGCGGTAAGTATTCAAGGTTGGCTTTAGGCTTTAACATTACTCGTACTGGTAATGCTAGTTATAATTGAATTCTCCGTCCAATTTTACATTTGTATATAAAATTTCTTTCTTATCAGTGGCTTGTTAGATTTACAGTGACATTTTTCAGGCAATCGCTATTATTGTGGCTGTGAAAATAGCGGTAAGTATTCAAGGTTGGCTTTAGGCTTTAACATTACTCGTACTGGTTATGCTAGTTATAATTGAATTCTCCGTCCAATTTTACATTTGTATATAAAATTTCTTTCTTATGAGTGGCTTTTTAGATATACAGTGACATTTTTCAGGCAATCGCTATTATGTGGCTGTGTCTCATTGTCTGCCATCTTGTCCAATGTAAAGAAAGCCAAAACGATAAGTGCGCAGCTTGGTTGCGCAGAGAAAACTTCTTGTTTCTGGGACGCAAGTTTTCAACAGCTGTTTTTTACATCTCATCTCCACAAAAACCTACCTATCTCAGCTCAGAAATGACATACAAGCCTAAATGAGGTACCGTTGGAAAGAGATTGTTTACAGCTATCTAACTGTGCTGGTTTTATTGCTGTGCTTTGAGTTACCTTTAATTTTGTACCAGGGAATGCGGGTCTTGTTGGCAATCAATGAAGTAGCTGACAGATTAGCACGCTCTGCCTTAGTTACAGAGGGCTGGCCCATAGATTATGCCCCCATTGTTTATGCCATTAGAGAGAGGGCGTTCTGAGGATTTTGGAAGCAGTACTTCTACATCTTTGCTAAGAGTTAAGAGTGCAAGAATTGTGAGTGTGAGTGAGTAAAGATCGGCACAGCCAGGCACGAGAAGTAGAAGCCCACCGATCGCACGAGAAGTCTTGTCGACCAACATAGGACTAGGACTATCAACCGCGGGACGCTGGACTATGACTATTTATTGTTTCAAAGTTTGTATCTGAGCACCTATGCTATGGACGTGCCCCTAGTATAATACTATCCGGAGTGGCGTGAAGATAACTGATAACTATATAACTATCACAACATAACTCAGTCGATTAGTTTTATTAAATTCTTAGCAAGCACAATTAATTAAAATAAGAATAATCAATTTTTAATTTAATTTAAACAAAACGAAAAGAATTGGTGTAGGAAGAGAACCTTTCTGCCTTTCAAATATCACCTCGTCATCAGCATCATCATGACTACAGTGAACTTTACTACACTACACAACGAAGGTTTAAAAATGAAACATACCCTAACAATCTTATCCACTCCACCACTAGCAATCCGTTGAACCGGCCAGAGACCTGGCTGGAAGTCTACACTGTAAACTGGATCGCGTTCATGCCAAGAGATTTCTGGTGTAACAACTTTCATTGTGTATTCAAGTCAATAAACATCCGGACAAAAGTCAAACACCGACACTAGAAAATATTTCACGTCCCGGTTCCAGGGCTGCCAATGGGATTTTTTTGAAAAACCCAGCTTTTTTTAACAAAAACCCAAGCAATACATAGACAAAGAACAAGAAAACAAAATAAAAAACCCAGATTGTTAAAATGTACAAAATTTATAGTTACGAAACGAAACAATTACCACTTTTATATAAGGATATATTTAAAAAAAAACACCAGATTTCCCTGAGGACTCTGAAAAAAACCCAGATCTGGGGGGAAAAACCCATCATTGGCACCCCTGCGCCCGGTTCCTCTGTCCCGCGCTGTTTGTTAAAAATGTTCACACCGGACAGTCGCTCAACGAAACAAAAGATTTAATGTTCAGCAGTTTAATTAATAAACAATACAAGCAATATCCTAAGGCCACGAAGATGTGGTTTTACAGAAGAATCATTAGGATTCCTTGGACAGCTAAGAAGAGCAACCCTAGATGTTTTAAAAGAGGTGAATGCTCGAAGACAACACACACAAACTTCAGAAAGAGAATTTTTTTGGTCATGCTATGACTGACTGACTGACTGACTTTCTACCCCACCAGGACATCACACAAGCGATAAACACCCGATGACACAAAGTGCCACCATGTGGATGAGGATCACCGTGGAAAGGTCCCAGAAACCGCGTTCAGCCCTTAGGCCATATTTATGGCCGGGCTATATTGCGGCCCCTGGTAAGAGTAGGGTTTCAAATAACGAAAAATTTCATCCTGAAAAGGACGAGAAGTTATTGTATCACAATACCACAGTGACAACCATGTTATGAGAAGACATAAGAGGAGAAGACATCTGAGAGAATAACAATAAATGATGAAGAAATTAAAAATGTCACAAACTTTGAATATCTAGGCTCTATAATAAACATCAATGGAGACTATTCGACAGAAATTAAAAGGAGGATGGCCATAGCAACGCAAAGATTAAACAGAAATAAAAGTATATTTTTAAGCACCAGCAAGGAAATAGAAATAAAAATTTTTAAAGCATGCATCTTCCCTGTGGCTAAATACGAACGCGAGTCGTGGACTATCTCCCAGTCCTTAAGAAAGAAAATATGGGCCTTTGAGCTGAAATTTTGTATAGAGATTCTCATTTTACAATGGACAAAGAAAAAAAGAAATACTGACATTTTAAAAGATCTGAACACAAGGAAGAATAGCTAATAAACAGCATCTTGTCTCGGAAGCTGAAATATTTTGGTCATATCAAGCACCATGGCGGACTGGGACAAATAATAGCAGAAGACGTGGTGCCAACAAAAAGGGGCAGGGAACACAGGATATAAGTAAGTAAATGACCCTGTTCCACGCCTTTAGGCGTATAGGGCATATAGGGCTAGACCTATATTTCATAGACTAACGGCACAAGGTGGGTGATGTGGTCAGCATCACGCCGGCCACCTTTACTGTCCGGGACTGCACCCGGTACCCACTTAAGGCTGGGTCGACCTGGGAGCCAAAGTCAATTTTGAAGAAATCCGGCTCCGCGGGGAGCGAACCCACGACCTTCTGATCCGTGCATCAAGCACCATGGCGGACTGGGACAAATAATAGCAGAAGACGTGGTGCCAACAAAAAGGGGCAGGGAACACAGGATATAAGTAAGTAAATGACCCTGTTCCACGCCTTTAGGCGTATAGGGCATATAGGGCTAGACCTATATTTCATAGACTAACGGCACAAGGTGGGTGATGTGGTCAGCATCACGCCGGCCACCTTTACTGTCCAGGACTGCACCCGGTACCCACTTAAGGCTGGGTCGACCTGGGAGCCAAGGTCAATTTTAAAGAAATCCGGCTCCGCGGGGAGCGAACCCACGACCTTCTGATCCGTGGCGCGTCTAGCCGCTCTGCCACGGCGATACCCACAGGATATAAGTGACTCCTTGAATAAGAAAGTACGCGAGGTGGAAGAACTGGCGAGAGACCGAGTTTCTTTCAAGCAAAAAGTGATGAGAGCGACGTTCTGCAAAGGACCTACTATATGATGATGATCATCATGGCGGTGGTTTTGCTAAATGGCGATAGCTGTCTGGTACAAATTGTCACATAGCAGAAGGTGGAGGATAATGAGAAATAGAGGAAGAGGAAGAAGAATAAAACGACCCTGGACAATCCATAGGTACCCCAATCAACCCCCCCCCCCCCCCTTTTTTTCCCCCCGCCCTTTTTTTCCATTCCAAGACTGACAGGGAAGTCATGTGATCACGTGATACTGTCACATGACCCTGGATTAAGTCGTCTAATAGCTGCAGTGTTTGTGAAAGATAGTCAAGTTGAACCACATTTTATCCTGTGTCGGTTTATTCCACGGTTGTATTTGACAGAATAGATGGTGTTTATTATCAACTTCCTGTTTAAAACAGTAAGTGATTAGTCACTGAAGTATCTTAACTCTTTGAGTCCCAGGGGGTTTTGCACCAGAGGCCCAATGGGGGTAATATGATTTTGACTTTTAACAAATGCAGCACTTTAAAACAAACCACACAACTGCAGCTGATGTCCAATATGCACGTATCATACATAAAATTAAACATAAATGGATAAGGATTAATATTAGCATACTGCTACAACAAACAATTATACTGTTAGTTAGTTTTTAGTAGAGAAAACAGTGACTTAGTTTGAGAGGTGAGTAAATTATGAACAAGTTTTTTCCACTTACCCAGAAGCTGATCCCAAAATTCTTGATATAGTATATCCAAAATGCATCACAAAGGAAGGTACACCACTTATAAGTATGCACAGCCATTATTAAAGCAAAATGTGCAATAGTTTTTGTTCCATACTAATTTTAACAACACTACAATAACACGTCAAAATATATTCTCCAGTGGCACAAACAGAGACTTTTCTAAAAATAATTGAATTCCTCACATAGAAAAAACTGTAAAGGCACTGTAAACATGTCAATCTGTTCATAGATATATATCTATGGTTTTAGATGATATGGATAGTAGTACTAGAAGCGCTGACATTTGGACTAGCTGGTGTCGCGTTACGAGGTGCTTCTCTTGTATTGCCAAGGCAGAATTAGTCAGTTTTGTCCTCTTAGCAGGAGGTAAATTCGCACACATCCTCGTCAAAACTTGACTCGTCAACGGTTTGGGGAAATTTCACGTCTCTACTTTCATTATCCAACTCCACATTACTTTAACTGATCCACTGTTTTATCAAATTTGATGATTCTAAAGCAGTAAATCGCTTTGATGGGCGTGAAGACGATGACTGATCGGACATATTGTTTTCAGACAATTGTTTGGTAACGTAGTAGACCACACAAATATCGATTTAAAGCGTTAAAAACTCACCAGACCCAAACGAATGCACTCCACGTGTGTACACTACACACTTGAGAACCGGAAAGGAAGTTTAAATTGAGCGGTCCACGTGTAATTATCGATAAGTGGTAAATTAAAAACCGTCACACGTCATGCGCTGTTTGGGCCGCCAAGTAGTAAAAAATGAGCGCGTGATGCATTCCTTGGGACTCAAAGAGTTAATTAGCGTACGGCCCAATCTTGTCTAATATATTAAATGTGTATTACTAAAACTGCCTCTACAAAGCTTATCATTTAATAATCTTGGGAAATTTGGTAAAGTCGCAGTTTGTTTTCAGACTTTGTGAACACCTTTACCTCGAGAAGTTGTAAAAATATTGATAGATATGTCAGGAATGAAGATCAGGACACATTAAAAATAAATAAGCAATCCTTACAACGGTGACCCTAGGGAAAGCAATCTACTGTAAGTTAAGATTACTGTAAGTACCTATCCCAGGGGACGTAATCCATTGTTTGAGTAATTCATATATTACTCATATTCTTTCAAATTTAATGCATATTTAATGTTTTTTGAGAATAGGGTTAGGGCTAACACTAACCCTAAACCAAAATCCTTACTCTAACTCTAATATCAAACAATATTAAGTATTAAAGAAAATTTGGCTATCCTCCGATTAACGGTCCTAAATTATCGAGGCAGAGAATATACCCTAACAGGGTTTCAGTCACGTGTCAATTGCGCACTTCCGGGGACTATAACGTCACCGCCGAATTGTGAACTTCGGCGACTTCCGCCATCGCCGAGAGTATCCCTCACGCCACGTGAGCGGTGTGGATTGGAGCTAAGCTAGATGGCTAGGACTCATGAGCAAATAAAATAAAGGAAGCTGCAGGAGATGCGGTAGCTGCTGCTCGTGAGTCCCAGCCATCTTGTTTAGCCCAAATCCACACCACATGAGCGGCGTGGGAAAAACTCTTGGTGGTGGCGGAAGTCACCGGAATTGCGCAATTTAAGATGACGAAAGTGTGCAATTGACACGTGACTGAGGCCCTGTTAGGGTATATTTTCCGCCTCAATAATTTAGGACCATTATTCAGAGGACAGCCGAAAATTCTAATTACACATACACAAACAACGGATTGTATCGCTTGCGGTCACCTTAAACAACCATTGATGCATCCCCTACGGTGGCCATGGAGGACTGCCAATAAATATATTGGAATTAATTTCAAGTAATTGAATGAACAACAATGCCTGTCCAGGACATAGTCCTTGTTCCTTGACCACATTTGTGGGGGAAAAGGGGGGGGGGGGGAAATACAGAGTAAGTGCCCCTCTCTAACAAGAAGGTGAGTAATTAGTGGTATTTCCCTCAAAGTCAGAGTGCATCTATAGAGGAGGCAGGGAACCAACAGTCTGCATGCAAATAAGCCATATCTATTAAAGTTTTTCAGATCTGGCTTATTTAAATGCAGGCTGTTGGTTTCTACTAAAAATGATGTGTGAAAGTTAAGTTCTGGTTCAAGACCAAAGTCCAGAAGTGAATGGACAACCAAATGATTCCTCAGGAGTTTACGGTCAGTGAGTACTAAAATAATATTCAGAAGAATGCACAACACCCGATCTAGAGGAAGTTGCAGT